TCTTGCTACTTGCCCCCCTCTTATTCAACAGGGTCACATCCTGGAGTGCTGTAAACAACTCTGGGGCTTGCAGTGTCTGAGTCACACATTCTCTGCAAGTCAACAAGCCTCCCTCCCCACTCCCACGTGGGATGAACGTGCTGCTCCTATGTCTTCTACCAGGGCCACCGGAAGAGGAATCGGGATTTAGCTGCGTTCTCTCAAGTTGGCAGCTGTGGCTTTGTGCCTTTGGGGATGGAGAAACCATCCGGCAGCCTGTGTAGTCAGAACAGGTGTATGAATGAGCCCAGGGTGGGAGACAGGCCTCAGCGGCCCTGTGAGAACGCTAGATTTATGCCTCCACAGTTGTCTTCAGGGAAATCTCCCCTTAAAAGGTTGATTCAGGAGCATCAGCAGTGGATGCAGAACTCCTTGGCTTCTTCAGCTGCAAAATCTTAGGAAGCTGAGCTAGGAGAGGTGCTTTAAGAAGAGGTGGATCAGACACATCTCATTCATCATTTTCCAGAGAAGGAAACACTTGAAACCAGGATACTTTTAATATCAGTTGTTTGTGGAAACACAGAACACTTTGGCTATTAATGGTTTCACTTCTAGTACTATCATATCTTGTGGTAATTAGTTACTCAAAACATGTCTTTTTATATGGGAGCTATCATAGTCTTTTTGTTATTTAGACTTGTATATGTTAACCTCATTTGCTGCTGTTTTGTTCTAGGAGTGGGGAGGAGTGTCTCTTTTCCTGCCTACTTTGTCCATAGGACTTTTGAGTTTACTGATCAGTTTTCCAGTTTTGTTATGTATCTTTCTTAGCAACTAAAGACCCAAATAACTTGTCAGTGGTTTGGAATTGCATATATTGACAGAACTAAACTAATAAAATTAACCACTCTGTTTTAAAACCCAGTTGAACACAAAGTGCACATTTTATAGTCCCTTTACAGTGGTTCTCAACCTGGGGTCCCCATATGTTTTTGGCTTTCAACTCCCCAGAAATCCTAACAGCTGGTAAAATGGCTGGGATTTCTGGGAGTTGTAGGCCAAAAACATCTGGGGACCCCAGATTGAGAACCACTATGTACACATGGTAAATGTTAGGTAGCAGTCTTGGAGCAGTGGTAGAGACAGGTTTACACTTAGGTAAAGATAAAGGTTTTCCCCTGACATTAAGTACAATCGTGACTGACTCTGGGGGTCTGTTGCCCGTAGACGCCTCCAAGGTCATGTGGCCGACATGATTGCATGGAGCGCTGTTACCTTCCTGCTATTGTTCTACTCACATTTGCATGTTTTCGAACTGCTAGGTTGGCAGAAGCTGGGGCTAACAGCGAGAGCTCACCCCGCTCCCCGGATTCAAACTGATGATCTTTTGGTCAGCAAGTTCAGCAGCTCAGCAGTTTAACCCACTGTACCACTGGGAGGACTTAAATGCACATTTTTAAAATTCTGTTGATAGGCTTTTAATTGACATTTTTTCCTATTTTAAATGTATTTGTGTTTGCCATTTATTCCTGTTACCATGTTCACTGTGTTCTGAGAGAAAGGCAAGATAGGACATAAACCGTTGTCTTCTGAATGGCTGTTATCTGATGGCGAGACAGATGGTATCCGAATGAGCCTCTGAGATTAGAAGCCAGGAGAAGAAGGCCCTTTGCAAGCATGACAGGCTCCTCTTTTTCTCTCTCCGCAGCAAATGAGAGCCCTTTCCCCCCAGTTCCACTGTTGGGGGCTTTGTGGGAAGCCAGGCTTATGCAAGGGGGAGGAGGAGGCCAGGGGAGCGGCTGACTCCTCTTGTCCAGCGTAGTACTGCAGAATGCTGCCCTTTGGCCCATATCTCTCCTGGCCGACCCAAGCAGAGGGAATGTTGCTGGTTCAGGCATTCTGCCGGGTCTATTTGCACTCTTATGTAAATGACTCTGAAGCTCTGTCATAACACCACCCTGGTTGTCTGTTGTGGGCCTTGGCCGCTGTGGCAACAACAAGTGCTGCTGCATCATTGTGCAAGTCTCTTCCTGGCCTGATTGGAGGTTGGCTTTCCCGTGTTGTTAACCTCCAGCATCTGCAGAAGGGGGGGGGGGGGGGGACAATACCTAAATCTGGTTGTTGAGTTCTATTTCACTTACCTTTTTAAACTTTTGTGTGCTGTGATTCTTTAGCAACTTTTACTCTTGAATCTCAAACTGAAAAAAGGTGGAATATTACAGTAATCATTAATATTGTGCTCAGGGGTTGCAGTTTTGTTAGGTTCTTCTTGTCTTACTTTAGCTGTTATGCATGTACTTGAGGTGAACAGCCTTTTGGGTTTGTCAGTCTCTCTGGCAATAAAGATCTGCTCACTCTGAGGGACTGGGGTACTGGCTGCTGATCATGGCCTTCTGGTGACCACCATACTTCCCTCTGTCTTCAGACACTAGCGTGGCTTGGCAGAGCTGCATCTGTTTCCATAGTGGCATTGGGGTTGGTCCTGAAGCAGAGAGACTGCCTTAGACAAAACCAAAGGAGTCATCCTGTCCAATTTATTTATCGTGTCAGGAGCAGACCAAACAGTTGCGTTGCATTTTTTAACAAACAAAGAAACAGACAAAACACAAAGTTTGCAAGCTTGGTAGTTGATTAAATGTCCTTTGACCAGTAGCTGGCCACTTGGAGTGCCTCTGGTGTTACTATAAGAAGGTCCTCCATTGTGCATGTGGCAGGGCTCAGGTTGCATTGCAGCAGGTGGTCAGTGGTTTGCTCTTCTCCACACTCGCATGTCGTGGATTCCACTTTGTGGCCCCATTTCTTGAGGTTGGCTCTGCATCTCGTGGTGCCAGAGCGCAGTTTGTTCAGTGCCTTCCAAGTCGCCCAGTCTTCTGTGTGCCCAGGGGGGAGTCTCTCATTTGGTATCAGCCATTGATTGAGGTTCTGGGTTTGAGCCTGCCACTTTTGGACTCTCGCTTGCTGAGGTGTTCCAGCGAGTGTCTCTGTAGATCTTAGAAAACTATTTCTTGATTTAAGTCATTGGCATGCTGGCTGGCAGATGAGCTGGAGATGTCACTGCCTTGGTCCTTTCACTATTGGCTGCTACTTCCTGGCGGATGTCAGGTGGTGCGATACCGGCTAACAGTGTAATTTCTCCAGTGGTGTAGGGCGCAGACACCCCGTGATAATGCGGCATGTCTCATTAAGAGCCACATCTACTGTTTTAGCATGGTAGATGTGTTCCACACTGGGCATGCATACTCAGCAGCAGAGTAGCATAGCGCAAGGGCAGATGTCTTCACTGTGTCTGGTTGTGATCCCCAGGTTGTGCCAGTCAGCTTTCATATGATATTGTTTCTAGCACCCCACTTTTTGCTTGATGTTCAGGCAGTGCTTCTTGTAGGTCAGAGCACGGTCCAGAGTGACTCCCAGGTATTTGGGTGCGCTGCAATGCTCCAGTGGGATTCCTTCCCAGGCCATCCTCAGAGCTCGGGATGCTTGTCTGTTCTTAAGATGAAAGGCACATGTCTGTGTTTTAGATGGATTAGGGATCGGCTGGTTTCCCCTGTAATAGCCCTGTCCAGTGACAGCCACATAGCCAAGGGCAGTCATTGGCCCCAAGTTACCTTCTTTGTGTTTGCATTTGGAAGTTCTTCTGACCAGAGAGGGATGTGTCACAGGTTTCTCGTTTGAGGCTTTTAACTCTCATGTTGGAACAATCCCACAATAGGCTGAGATATACCTTTTATCCTAAAGCTGTGACTATATTGTGGTCTATGTTTTCACACTGATGTGGCATTAGGGGTTGTGGAATAGGAATTAGATTGTGAAAGGATGGATGCTTTGTTTGCAATTCTATATAATGCGATTGGGGAGGGCATTAATTCCGTTGGATGACGTACAATGACAATAAAGTTATTATATTCTACAAGAGGAGAGGACAGGCATTTTCTTGACTCCTTCATCCCCCACTTCCAGGCTTTTTACAGAGGTCAGAATGTGGGGAAGCCGGCAAGTCTAAGTGGCTGTAACCCACGCACTTCAGTCTCTTTAGCCTTCAAGCTTTGCAGGGACCTAAAGTGGATCCTGCTCCTCATTCCACCAGAAAGCAAAGCATTTGAGGTCCACAATGTGAGCCTTAAAATAATTCTGCCATGCACCCCATTATGACAGGAAGACCAACTTGTGTAGATAGGCCTCCCAGTCACAAACACCACTATAGCTGGAAATGTCTTTGGGCTTGTCTTTGAGTCTCTCCACCCACCTCCCACCCCCAGTTAATCCCATCAGGTGCCTGGGATTAATCTTTCTCTAGCTATGTGTTTTTGCTGCGAAGGCGCTTTGATCTGAGCATGTGCGGATCCTTGGAAAGGCTCCTTATCACGTATCACTTCTGATAGCAGGGCAAGGCGCAGGGGCAGATAAGGCCAAAAGGGAAATTGAAAACGGAGATGTAAACATTACGGTGAGTGGAGCATTTGGGGGAAATGCTGTCTGTCCAGCCTGGCCTTGCAACCCAGAAATCTCATCTTCTGCATCCAACTTGGTTGTACTGGTTTTGAATATTTGCATTAGTAGCGTGGGGGGGAGGTCTGATTGTCCAATCTCCCTCACCCCATTTCTGCCTTATGTTGGGAGCAGCCACTCATTAACTATGCCCTGCCAACCTTGCTGAGCCTCCTGGGTACACAGAGCCATTAGATTTGCAAGAGCCCCTGATATTAGGGAGCTGAGTCTTCTGTGACTCCTGTATTGCCCTAAGGCAGTTTCTTTCCCATAACCTTTCTAGCCATCCCATAGCTACTGGGCTGGGGGAGGGGGTGGGCACTCAGGCTCTGTGAGGAACTGAGGTAGTGGCTGACTTGTTTTTCTTTGGGGGTTTGTTGTCTTTGGAGATTAAGCTTGCACTGTGGTATTGAAAAGTCCAGACACAGAAGCAGCATGAGGAGCACATTCCAAGGCAGACAGTGTGGCTCCAAGGGTACCACCAGCTTCTTGGAATCTCTTCCCTTCTAATTCCCACTTTTCTCTGCTCTCTACAGGTCACCAGCTGGCCCACAGTTGTTCAACTGTCAGAATCTAAATCAGTTTAACACGGCTGCATCAACATGAATGAAGTGTCAGTCATCAAGGAGGGCTGGCTGCACAAGAGAGGTAAGTAATGGTTTTCCCGCCCCAGTATCGAAGAGGCCAAGTGGAGCCTTATTGAATTCTTTCTTTCTTGAGAATGACTATTATTACATGCTTAGTGTGAAGCAGAACCTGACTTGAAACTGATCTTTTAACCTACTTCCTTTCCCTATTCATCTTTATGAGACTAAAATGAAGACCAAATTTTACATACTTACTTAGGTGATTCCTCGTAGCCCCTGAGGATTATGGTCCTCCAAGTGTAGTGTCTTGGCAGTGGATACATAGGTGACTGTAGAGCCCTATTCTTGACCCGCATGTTCTTCCATAGTGAGGACGTTGGTTTCCAGGTAGAATGTGGTCCTGATCAGGGTAGCCTTGATGTGCCTTCTTCTTTGCACATTTCTTCCTTTCTCTCTCCATTTGTGAATCTTCAAATTCCGCAGGACTGATGGTCACAGCTGACCTCCAGCTAGAGCGCTCAAGGGCCAGGGCTTTCCAGTTCTCAGAGTCTATGCCACAGTTTTTAAGGTTGGCTTTAATCCCATCTTTATTTTCCTGTCAACCATTCCATTTTCTGTTCTTGAGTTCAGAGTATAGTAACTGCTTTGGGAGATGGTGATTGGGCATTCGGACAACATGGCCAGTCCAGTGGAGGTGATGGCATGGGAGCATTGCTTCAGTGCTGGTGGTCTTTGCTTCTTCCAGCACGCTGACATTTCCGCGCCTGTCTTCCCAAGAGATTTGCAGGATTTTCGGAAGCAACACTGGTGGAATCGTTCCAGGAGTTGAGTGTGATGTCTGTAGACCAGGGGTCCTCAAACATTTTAAACAGAGGGCCAGGTCACAGTCCCTCAAACTGTTAGAGGTCTGGACTATAATTTGAAAAAAAATGAATGAATTCCTATGCACACTGCACATATCTTATTTGTAGTGCAAAAAAAAAACCACTTAAAAACAATACAATAATTAAAATGAAGAACAATTTCAACAAATATAAAATTATTAGTATTTCAATGGGAAGTGTGGGCCTACTTTTGGCTGATGAGATAGGATTGTTGATGTTGTGTGCTTACAAGTCATTTCAGACTTAGGTTGATCCTGAGCGAGGGCCGGGTAAATTACCTTGGAGGGCTGCATCCAGCCCCCGGGCCATAGTTTGAGGACCCCTTCTGTAGACAGTCCATATTTTGCAGGCGTATAACATAGTTGGGAGGACAATGGCTTTATAAACAAGCACCCTGGTATCCCTACGGATGTCCTGATTCTTAAACACTCTCAGCTTCATTTGGAAAAATGCTGCACTTGCAGAGCTCAGATGATGTTGTATTTCAATGTCAGTGTTGACTTTTGTGGAGAGGTGGTTGCCAAGATAGCAGAAATGGTCAGCATTTTTCTAATGTTACACCATTAAACTGTATTTCTGGCATTGCAAAGGGATTGGCTGGTGACTGCTGGAAGAGCACTTTGGTTTTCTTGATGTTCAGTGAGAGGCTGAGCTTCTTGTATGACTTGTGCAAAGGTGAATGGCCAGACAGTGAAGATGAGGGCAGAACTGTTTACTCGGGGCTGACTGATGTGCTCGGGGACTGAGCCTTGTCAAGGAGATAGGTAGCTACCTACCTGGGGGCTCTTGCCACTTGATCCCAAGGCTAGATGGTCAGTAATGCTCCAACTAACTCCAGCACCCTGCTGCAGTTCAGGGCAGCAAGGAAATACATGACCTTTTATTAGACTGGTTCAAAACAGACATGGAGGTTCCCTGTGAAATTCAGGAGAAGAAGGAGCTTGATTGGAAGCTTCTTTATCCAAACAACAAATCCTGTGGTTTGAAAAATGAACACTTTTTAAAATGACATAACCTTTTACCATAAATGGAGAGGCTTCTTCGTGTGCCCCTACCTAGTGTTGTACCATGTTTTGGCTGAGAGCCTAAACCACTTCTCTTGCACTTAGTAGCACAGGAGAAGTCATGTGGGAGGGCATTTAGGCAGCTGCAGAATCCAAGGATGACAGATGGCACCTGTTAGCAACAGGTAGGTCTGTCACAAGAGCTGTTTGTCTTTGTTCAAGTCCTTTGGTTCTGAGATATCCTCTTGTTTTTCTTCAAGTTCCCTCTTCTTGCCCCCCCTTCCCCAATGGACCCATGGCAGTCTCAGCTGTCCCTTGCAGTGATTCCCCTTGTGCCCCCTTCCCTATTTTGTGCTGTGGCTCCAACAAATTCCTTTTCCTGATGACAAATATAGCGGGCAGCTGGTGGTGGCCAGCCTGGCCTGGAGGCTATTTTAGTACCTGGAGCCGGGTGCAGTTTCTGGGAGGGCTGGGCAAGCCCTGCTGAGAGAGATCCCCTCAGTTGTGCAATGTTCAATGGAGGTGTGAGGAAAATCCAGGATTTTTGGTGTGAATCGCCCATTTGCACAAGAGACACTGTTTGCTTGAGAGCCACTTAAAAAGGTTTCGTTATAAACAATTCTATAAATGGGGCTCAAAAACACATAAAAGCCAAATGCTTCAGGGCATATCACGAGTCAACTGGAATAAGCTTGGTGTTCATTTGCTGTTGGAGAGCTTGGCTAGGGCAAAGATCTATAGGGAAAGCACCATATGGAATTGTGCCAGGCTTTACTGTAAGAGGATTGTGACTCTGGAAGAAGAAATCTAACCCAACAAACCCTGAACACTTGACCCAGGCTCTCCTGGCAACTCACTTGAAATTGCTGTGGTGTTTCTGGCCATCGAAAACTCTGGGGGTTATATCTCTGTGACAGAGTTGTTGACACTTAACAGATCTTTAAAGACAAGTGGAGAGCTAAACTGTTCCTCCCAGGTCCTCCCAGCCGTCAGTCCTTGCAGCTGAGCAGGTTTCTTAAATTATTCTCAGTGTGTTGCCAGGATAGACTCAATCAAGCAAGTTGTGCAGCAGAGAAAAGGCCCGATCCTGGCTAGCACAGTAGTGTGTTATGCATGAATGATAATACACCCCCCTCAAAAAGCCATTTGAACCTTTATCAGCCCTGGAGCATGTAGAAATGTGATCTCATAGAATCATAGAGTTGGAAGAGACCTTATGGACCATCCAGTCCAACCCCATTCTGCCAAGAAGCAGGAAAATCGCATTCAAAGCACTCCCGACAGATGGCCATCTAGCCTCTGCTTAAAAGCCTCCAAAAAAGGAGCCTCCACCACACTTCAGGGCAGAGAGTTCCACTGCTGAACAGTTAAGAAGTTTTTCCTCCTGTATTGCCGAAGGCTTTCATGACCGGAATCACTGAGTTGTTGTTGGTTTTTTCGGGCTATATGGCCATGTTCTAGAGGCATTCTCTCCTGATGTTTCGCCTGCATCTATGGCAAGCATCCTCAGAGGTTTTCCTCATCTTCAGGTGGAATTTCCTTTCCTGTAGATTGAAGCCATTGTTCAGCATCCTAGTCTGCAGGTCAACAGAAAACAAGCCTGCTCCCTCCTCTTCCCCTCACAACTTTCTGCATGGCTATCATGTCTCCTCTCAGCCTTCTCTTCTGCAGGCCAAACATGCCCAGCTCTTTAAGCCGCTCTTCATAGGGCTTGTTCTCCAGACCCTTAATTATTTTAGTCGCCCTCCTCTGGACACATTCCAGCTTGTCAACATCTCCCTTAAATAGCGATGGCCAGAATTGGACACAGTGTGATTCCTGGTGTGGTCTGACCAAGGCAGAATAGAGGGATAGCATGATTTCCCTGGATCTCAAGATTGAACCACTGCAAACTCCTGTTCTTCCTCTATGCCAGCCCATGCAGAACCACCCAGTAGATACGCAGGAAGAAAAGAGACCTGATTCTGCATTACCTGAGAAGGAGATGGCAAAATCTGAATGACTATATTAGTCAGCAGAACAAGAGAGACTTGCCAACTGCAGCAGGAAAGAAATGCTGAACTGTTACTAGAAGATGAAATATAATCCAACCCTCAAGACACAGGGGCAAGTGTCACAGAATGTAGCAGCTATTCCAGAGAAAGTTGAGTGTTGCTTTGAATCCCCTGCTCTGAAAAGCACCATATTTCACCCATCTGCTTTTTCCAGGTGAATACATCAAAACCTGGAGACCAAGGTATTTCCTGCTGAAGAGTGATGGGTCTTTCATTGGGTATAAGGAGAAGCCCGAAACAACAGATCAGAGCCTTCCCCCCTTAAATGACTTTTCTGTGGCAGGTATGTCATGCACGTGAGCATGAGAGAGTCCTTGGGTGAATGTGACCCCTCAGGGTGAGAAAAGCGGTATACAAATACTGTAAATAAATAAATAATAAATAGTAGAATCATTTCCTTGGAGCTCCCAGTGAATAACTCTCTTTGTCTCTAATCTTGTGCTTGGAATGAATTGTTTTCATGTTCCTAACTGGTAGGTATATGCCTGGGAATGGAAAGAAGTCCCAGTTCTGTGAGAGAGAGACAAGATTGCACAGGGCTTTGAAATAATGAATTACTTTGAACTTGGATTGACCCATGGGCTGTCCTTTTCCCTGTTCCATTTTCTTGCTGGTGCGTTTTGTTCCTTTCTGTATAAGAGCTAGTCAATTGGGTTATTTTCTGCCTAACTTGGGTGATGTTTTTACACAGTGGTATAGGTGAGGAATCCCATTATGTAGGAGTGAGGCAGCAAGGAGAATCTCTAAACTCCACTGTGAGAGGGAGCAGTGTTCCCTTGCTACTTCGCGGTTCGCTTTCAGCGGACTCGTTGTTTCACGGGTTTTTGAAAATATTAATAAAAATATTAAATATTTACGAGCAGGGGAGGCCAGGGACACTTGAAGTGCGGCGGCCTGAGGCACGGCGGGGAAAGCTTGCCACTCTGGCCTCCACAGACCCCGGAAGTGCGGCGGCCTGAGGCGCAGCAGGGAAGGCCTGCCTCCTTGGCCTGCTGCTTCCTGTGTGGCTCCAAAGGCTCTGCGGAGGCCAGGGAGGCAGGCAGGTGCCCTTGGGATGGGCCTGGAGGTGGGTAAGGAAGCGTGGGTAAGAAAATAATATATAAAATATATAAAATAATGTATAAATATTAAAATTAATATGGCGCCCCTACTTTGCAGATTTTCACTTATCGCGGGTGGTCCTGGAATGGAAGCCCCGCGATAAGTGAGGGAACACTCTATATGTTAAACCTGAGTTATAATTCTGTGCTTGGCAAGAAAAAGAGCGGGTAGTGGGTGACAGTGTATATACCCTGTTTGAGAAGAGCCCCCAGCACAAACTCACTGTCTCCTTGGCCTGTTTCTCAGAATGCCAGTTAATGAAAGTAGAGCGGCCCCGTCCCAACACCTTCATCATTCGCTGTTTGCAGTGGACAACAGTTATTGAGAGGACCTTCCATGTGGACTCCCCAGATGAAAGGTGAGTGACATGAGCACAGTTGATTTGGTATGAGAACACAAACCCAGAGGTCTGGAAATGGAAGAAAAGGGGTTGCTTCATTTTGCTCTCTCAGCTCCTTAGGCTTCTTTGACTTCTCTGTCATGCAAGTAATTTACCTGCCCATGAAGATGACAGTGCTACGTGTGTCCCTACCATCTTGGAATTAGACACCTTTTGCAGAAAAATGGCATGCATAACCCTTTTGAAAAGAAGAACGATGTCATATAATTTTGGAAAATGTGAATCTCCATGAACAACTGGAGACCACCTTTTGAAAACCACTAGCCAAAGAAAAGCATGACCTTGTTAGAAGAAAACTATTTGAAAAAGTGATGTTCACAAGCATTCATGTAATGGTGCACAGGTAACTCAGTTGTTAAATTGATAAACCATGTCTTTGAACTGCCAGGAGCAAAGTCATGCCACTGCACAAAAAACATATACTTACAGAGTTTTAAAATGTTTCTTTGAAGTTGAAGCTGAAATTGCAGTTGCCCAAAACATATACTCTACCTTAAAATCTCTTAGTTTAAAATATGCACTCATAGGCAAAAGAACAAAGTCTTTATAAAGGAACATATCTTGTTTACTCACAAACATCTTGTATTAATTCAGCATACAGGCACATTTATAGATAGAATGTAGTTTCTCTGTGTTGAGAACACAGGGCATCATTCTTAATCAACAGTCAGTAGTCCAAAGTCTTTTAAGTATATATACTATGAAAATCCGAACCGTATAACTGTACTCACTGCTTTTTAAAGCACACATATAGTGAACCGGTCCTGCATAAGTCCAAAAGACATCTGCTTCCATTGAAGTCCAAAAACATACTGTAACCACCTCCACTGAGGTCTTAAGCAAACTGCTAACAATGAAATCCAAAGACATACTAATAACAAAATAGAGTCTTGAATCTGAACATAGTACAGTCACATGTCTGTGGCCCCTCCCACACCAAAGAGGTACAGTCAAACTAGCAAATCAATATATACATAGAATACAGGTTAGCAGATATATACATTAACTAGCTGTACCCGCCACGCGTTGCTGTGACCAATCTTTCCTCTTGCTTTCTTTCCTTCTTTCCCTCCTTTCCTTTGCTCCCTCTTTCCTTCCTTCCATCCCTTTTTTTTCTTCTCTCCCTCCTTCCTTTTTTACCTCTTTCCTTCCCCCTTTTTCTTTCCCTCCCACTTTCTCTGCTTTCTTCTCTACCTCCTTCCTTCCTTCCTTCCTTCCTTCCTTCCTTCCTTCCTTCCTTCCTTCCTTCCTTCCTTCCTTCCTTCCTTCCTTCTCTCTTCTCTTTCCCTCTTTCTTGCTTGCTTGCTTGCTTGCTCTCCTTCCCTCCCTCTTTACTTCCCTTTTTCTGTATTGTTATTTAGCTTTTTGAGGTTTTAAGTCCTTTCTGCTCTTTTGGGTGGGGGGAGGTTATGAGTGATGGTCACTCAATGGCATGATAGGTGTCTTGTGTCCAGATTTAGTGTCAATTCGTTTAGTGGCTTTTGAATTATGTTAATCCCACATACAAACATTACATTTTTATTTATATAGATAAATAAATAAATAAATAGTGAAGGCTTGGAACATTGCTTTTTCCAACAATCTTTAGCTCTGGGACATGAAATGGTGGGACTGGTTGTGAGTGCTACCACCCACTGAGAAACTTGTAGATTTATCTCAGTCAACTTCTCTAACAGCCAACCCAGTAAACATTGTAGTCTGCTGTCGTAAGGAATATCAGATGTCATAATAGTTTTGCTTAAGGGAATGTCCATTCTTTCCTCCCCAAATGTTGCCTCATGATCATAATGGGTCCTTGCTTTTCCCAGGGAGGAGTGGATCCAGGCCATTCAGATGGTTGCCAACAGTTTAAAGAACCAGGAACCGGAAGAAGACAGAATGGACTACAAATGTGGCTCTCCTAGTGACAGCACAGGTGCCGAAGAGATGGAGGTGGCGGTGACAAAGACCCGGGCCAAGGCGGTAAGGGGGACCAGATTGGAGGGTGGGAGGGGGGAACAGAGAATCCTCTTTAGTTTTGGCTTAACCAGGATCAGCCAGAAAGGAACCTGAAGCTCACACAGAACAGAAACCAGCCTTTGTTCATCTTGGTAGTGCTCCCTTAGCAATGGATGCGGACTCTCGTTTTGAATGTTCTGGGTCTGCTGATTGGAGTGAATTTGATATTATTTCTCTGCTGTCTTTTGATTAAAAGACCATGAATGACTTTGACTACCTGAAGCTCCTTGGGAAGGGCACCTTTGGGAAGGTCATCCTCGTGCGGGAGAAAGCCACTGGGCGCTACTATGCCATGAAGATCCTGCGCAAAGAAGTCATCATTGCCAAGGTATGGGTCTCTGAGTTGCATTGGTGAAGTGTCTGTCAAACAGTCTCAGAGCCCAAGGAGAAGCACAGTCTTGAGTTGGACAAGTTGGTAGCGTTTAGCATTGCCTGTAAGTATGTGGTAAGAGTCCTGTTGAGTTAAGGCTGTTGAGAGAAGTGGGAGACCAACATAGAGACCAGAATTACTCCAGCTTCCTTGAATTAGAAGCTGTTAATAAAGAAAGCCTCCAGAATTTGCTCTTCTTTTGGGTTCCTGTAAATATTTTTTAAAGATATTTTATTATGTTATAAACACAAATCAATAAGCCAAATTCCAAGTGTTACACATATAAATCCTGAGTAATTCAACAAATATTAAAGACATTATGCTAATTTACACTGGTGTATATTACATTATCTCCACCTTCCCTCCCTCCCTCTCTCTCTCCCTCCCTCTTCAACCACAGTATATTTCTACTAATCTTGCAGATCCAGCCACTGGTAGTCTTTGTATTTTTTCTTTGATGTGGTCGTTGGCTCCTCCATTTTTCACCCAGTTGAAGTAGACCTGTAAATAAAGCAGAATTCAAAGAGCTGTTCACACAGACAGGAGGTTATGCTGGAATATTCATGAATCTTTCATTCCTCTATAGCAGTGTGTTTCAGCCTAGGGGTTGTGTGGGGTTTTTAGAGGGGTCCCCAAAGACCATTAAAAAACCTGTATTTCTGATGGTCTTAGGAACCCCTTTGGCAGAGAAGGCTGAAGATCTCTCCACCTGTCCTTCTCTTCCTTTTTGGAAAGACAGCGAATCCTCCCATCAAAGGCCCTCCTCCACTGTGATTGGCTGGCCTCTCGGCCAATGGGAGAGCTGTTTCTGAGACTTTAAGTGGGGAGGGGAGAGCAGGTGTGCTCGGTGCATGGCAGGGTAGTGTGCATGTGCGGGCGAGGGAGAGAGTGGGAGGCTGAAGGGAGGCTTGTGCCAATTAGTCCCTTCAAGGCATGGGGGTTCTGTGTGGGAAGTCTGGCCCAATTCTATTGTTGGTGGGGTTCAGAATGTTCTTTGATTGTAAGTGAACTATAAATCCCAGCAACTACAACTCCCAAATGTCAAGGTATATTTTCCCAAACTCCACCAGTGTTCACATTTGGGCATATTGAGTATTTATGCCAAGTTTGGTCCAAATCTATCATTGTTTGAGTCCACAGTGCTCTCTGGATGTAGGTGAATTACAACTCCAAAACTCAAAGTCAATGCCCACCAAACCCTTCCAGTATTTTCTGTTGGTCATGGGAGTTCTCTGTGCCAAGTTTGGTTTAATTCCATTGTTGGTGAAGTCAGAATGTCCTTTGATTGTAGGTGAACTATAAATCCCAGCAACTACAACTCCCAAATGACAAAATCTATCCCCCCTCCCCCAATCCCACCACTATACAGATTTGTGCGTATTAGGTATTTGTGCCAAATTTGGTCCAGTGAATGAAAAGACATCCTGCGTATCAAATACTTACATTATGATTCATAACGGTAGAAAATTAGAGTTATGAAGTCGCCACGAAAATAATTTTATGGTTGGGGGTCACCCAACATGAGGAACTGTATTAAGGGGTCGCAGCATTAGAAAGGTTGAGAACCACTACTCTAAATAAAACAGAATTCAAAGAGCTGTGCATACAGACAGAAGGTTACACTGAAATGTTCATAAATCTTTGGTTCCTCTGTTGACCATCCTCCTCTCCCACCACCCACCATTTAAAAAACACTCCAAAACCTATATTTTTTGTAGGTCGATACATTTTCCTTGTCAGGCCATTGATGGCTGATTGCTTAGGGAGAAAAGGGCCTTTCAGAAAGAGCTGTATTGTTTATCACTTTCTGTTTCATTTTTTTATTTTTGGTTAGTTTAATGTATGCCTGCAGCCTCAGATCACATGATGAGTACAGGTTACTGGTTTCTTTTTGTTGTTGTTGTGCCAATCATTGTCTGTGTTCTTTTGCTTTTTGTAGGACGAAGTGGCCCACACTGTTACAGAGAGCCGAGTCCTGCAGAACACAAGACATCCCTTTCTTACGGTAAATAGCACTAAAGAGCTTTCAGTTCTTTTTCTTGCCGGTAGAGAGGAGTAGTCCTTTCCTTTCCAGAATGGCTGGCTCACAAGGGAGATATGAGGTATCCTGAAAGGAGAGGGACACCGCTGCTCATTCACAATGTTAATTCACATTTCTAGGCACTGAAATACGCGTTCCAGACCAACGACCGCCTCTGCTTTGTCATGGAATACGCCAATGGCGGAGAGGTGAGTGCTTGCTCCTGTGGCCCCACTGTAGGCCATGCAAGGGGATTGTCTCAAATCTCTGTGAATAAGCTCAGATGTTGGAACAGAAGAAGTATTTCTCTCCAGGCCAAAATCTTTGTTTCAGGAGGGAAATAAAGCTTGGCTAAAAAATGTGTTGTCGAAGGCTTTCACTGGGTTGTGCGTTTTCTGGGCTGTATGGTCATGTGCCAGAAGCATTGTCTCCTGACATTTCACCCACATCTAAGGCAGGTATCCTCAGAGGTTGTGAAGTCTTTTGGAGAATAGGCAAGTGGAGTTTATATATTCCTGACCAAACACTGCATAAAATGCCCTCGGAAGCACTTTATTTTCTGCTTTGTGCAATTTAATCCTACCTTATCCCCCAGATCTCCTGTCCTGATACATTACATTGCCCTATCAACTAGTGTTTTTAAATTTTTAATCTTTGCAATTGGCCCTGCCCACTGTGATTATTTTCAGTGTTTTAATTTTATATTGTTGTGCTGTTTATTTATATTGGTTTTTGTATATTATGTTATTTTATTTTCTTATTTTTTGTTGTGTTCTTGTGTTACATTGTTTTACTGTATTGTTGGGCATGGCCTCATGTAAGCCGCCCCGAGTTCCCTTGGGGAGATAGTGGCAGAGTATAAATGAAGTATTATTATTATTATTATTATTATTATTATTATTATTATTATCTGTGGAATGTCCAAGGTGGGAGAAAGAACTCTTGTCTAATGTGTTATTGAAGGCTTTCATGACTGGAATCACTGAGTTGCTGTGTGTTTTTCGGGCTGTATGGTCACGTTCCAGAAGTATTCTCTCCTGGCATTTTTCCTGCATCAACAGACCTCACAACCTCTGAGGATGCCTGCCATAGGTGCAGGTGAAACGTCAGAAGAATGCTTCTGGAACATGGCCATACAGCCTGGAAAACACACAACAACCAAGAACTCTTGTCTGTTTGAGGCAGGTGTGAATGATGCAATTGGCCACCTTGATTATCATTGAATAGCCTTGCAACTTCAGGGATTGGCAGCTTCCTGCCTGGGGGAATCCTTTGTTGGGAGGAAGCAGCCAGACTTTGAAGCTGCAGGGCTAATCAAGGTGGCCAGTTGCAACATTCACAGTTTCCTCAGCCAGACAAGAGTTCTTTCTCCCACTCTAGATATTCTACAGATATATAAACCTAATTTTCCTAGTTTCCAACAGACCTCAAAACCTCTGAGAATGCCTGCCATAGATGTGGGCAAAACATCAGGAGAATGCTTCTGGAACATGGCCATACAGCCCGGAAAACACAGCAACCCAAAACTTGGGTGGGTTCTGGCTTTTGTCATTGATTAGCTCTGCACTCCGAGCTAGCAAGAGACTTCCATGCTAAGGGATGTTGGGGCACAGTAGACTTTGGTTCCATACAGTAGGATGCTTGATCACATGGTTCTGACTGTTCACAATGTCCCTTTGGGTCTCTCTGCCTTTCCCTTTCAGCTATTCTTCCACCTTTCAAGAGAGCGTGTCTTCACCGAGGACCGTGCACGTTTCTATGGGGCTGAGATTGTTTCTGCCTTGGAATACCTCCACTCTCGGGATGTTGTTTACCGCGACATCAAGGTGAGGATCAAGAGTGTCTTTATTCAGAGTTCTCTTTGAGGAGTGGCTTAAAGAGCTGGGCAAGAAGAGAAGGCTGAGAGGAGACAGAATGAGGGCCATGTATAAATATGTGATGGGAAGTCACAGGGAGGAGGGAGTAAGCTTGTTTTCTGCTGCCCTGGAGACTAGGACGCAAAACAAAGGCTTCAAACTACAAGAAAGGAGATTCCACCTGAACGTTAGGAAGAATTTCTTGACTGTGAGAGCTGTTCAGCAGTGGAACTGTCTGCCCCAGAGTGTGGTGGAGGCTCCTCCTTTGGAGGCTTTTAAGCAGAGGCTGGATGGCCATCTGTTAGGGGATGCTTTGAATGTGATTTTCCTGCTTCTTGGAAGAATGGCGTTGGACTGGTTGGCCCACAAGGTCTCTTCCAACTCTATGATTCTGTGTTCTCTGGAGAAGAGAAAAAGTAAAGAGCTACTGACCTCTTGATAATAGTGCCATTTGTTTGATCAGATGACCATTGTAAGCCGCCTGACCCTAGAACAATATTTTAAGAACATTCTTGAGCACATTGCAGTAGTCTGAAAAGAGTCTGGCCAGAAAAAAATGAAATGCAAAGATACAGGATGGGGGACGATGTTTGGCTTGACAGCAGTACATGTGAAAAAGATCTTGGAGTCCTCGTGGACAAGAAGTTAAACATGAGCCAACAATGTCATGTGGCAGCTAAAAAGCCATTGGAATTTTGGCCTGCATAAATAGGAGTATAATGTCTAGATCCAGGGCAGAAATACTACCTCTCTATTCTGCTTTGGCCAGACCACACCTGGAATCACACTGTGTCCAAGTCTGGGCACCACAATTTAAGGGAGATGTTGACTCTAAGCTGGAAGGAGTCCATAGAATGGAGACCCAAATAATCAAGTCTAGAGAACAAGCCCTATGAGGAGTGGCTTAAAGAGCTGGGCATGTTTAGCCTGCTGAGAGAAGACATGATGAGGGTCATGTATAAAGATTTGAGGGGAAGTCATAGGGAGGAGGGTTGTTTCCTGCTGCCCTGGAGACTAGGACACGGAACAATGGTTTCAAACTACAGGAAAGAAGATTCCACCTGAACATAAGGAAGAACTTCCTGACTATGAGAGCTGTTCAGTGATGGAACTCTCTGCCTCAGAGTGTGGTGGAGGCTCCTTCTTTGGAGGCTTTTAAGCAGAGGCTGGATGGCCATCGTTAAGGAGTGCTTGGAATACAATTTTCTTGCTTCTTGGCAGGGGGTTGGACTGTATGGCCCATGAAGTCTCTGCTCCATAGTGTGGTAGAGGCTTCTTCTTTGGAGGCTTTGAAATAGAGGCTGGGTGGCCATCTGTAAGTGGTGCTTTGAATGCAGTTTTCTTGCTTCTTGGCAGGGGGATGGACAAGATGGGCCATGTGGTCTCTGTCCCAGAGTGTGGTAGCGGCTTCTTCTTTGGAGGCTTTGAAATAGAGGCTGAATTGGCCATCTGTAAGGGGTGCTTTGAATGCAATTTTCTTGCTTCTTGGCAGGGGGTTGGACTGGATGGCCCACAAGGTCTCTTCCAACTCTATGATTCCATGACTCTGAAAATGTGTGTCATGTAGCCTACATGGGCACCAGTCTATAGTTCACTATGAAATGCACCTGTAAAACATGCCAGCCTTACGGTTCGGTTCTTTCGTGGCCCTGTAAAGGTTTCTGCTGCAATGGGACACACCATATCCCTTTTTTACCTTCCAGCTGGAGAACCTCATGCTGGATAAAGACGGACATATAAAAATCACAGACTTTGGGTTGTGCAAAGAGGGCATCACGGATGGCGCCACAATGAAGACTTTCTGCGGGACGCCGGAGTACCTGGCCCCTGAGGTAACAGAAATCCCCTTGTTTGTCGAGTAGCCTTGCCAAAAAGGGTTCCAATCCCAGCTAGACAGGGATAGGGATGGTGGAAATGGAGGGGCCAGAATCCTTGGGGAAAATCATACCAGTGAGGGAAGCTGATCTTGCAATTGAGGTTGTGCCTCTTCCTTTCTTGACAGCCAGGTTCTAATGATATGCTCCATTTGGTGTCAAGAGTTAGATCTCTTGGGGCATAGGAGTATCTGAGTGTGACAAGGGAGCTGCACAACCTTCATATTCCTAGCCAAAACCCAGAGACAATGGCTGCAATCTCCACTGTTCTTCCTTCCAACTGTAGGTGCTGGAAGACAACGATTATGGGAGAGCTGTGGACTGGTGGGGCCTTGGCGTCGTCATGTATGAGATGATGTGTGGGCGCCTGCCCTTCTACAACCAAGACCACGAGCGCCTCTTTGAGCTCATTCTCATGGAGGAGATACGCTTCCCACGCACGCTCAGCCCCGAGGCCAAGGCTCTGCTGGCAGGACTGCTCAAGAAGGACCCCAAGCAGAGGTCAGCAAGGACCAAGCGAGGGAGGGAGGAAGGGGTGGCAACATCTAGAGGGGAGGCACACTTGGAGAGATTGGGGATTGTCTTTCCTTCCCCCGTCCCCAATATTTTTACTTAAAATTTTGACAATAAAGAAACACAAATAGAATAGTACAATACTTTGAAGTACATAAACACAACATACCATATATACTTGAGTATAAGCTGACCTGAATATATGATATATGACTATCCAACTCTGATTAGACCATTATTCCAACCTCCTTCAATGTAAATGTGCTTATGAATCCTTCCAATAATAATAGAGAGTAAAATAATAAATAGTAAAATAATAAATGTAATAATAATAATAAATATACTATGTAATAAATATAGTATTAATAAATATATAATTATATAATACATATTATAAGTATATAATAAATATAGTAGTAATAGATATCGTAAAAAAGTATGGATCGTCGATGTCACAATCCCAGGTGATAGCAGGATTGCAGAGAAACAACTGGAAAAGCTGACACGATATGAGGATTTAAAGATCGAACTGCAAAGACTCTGGCACAAACCAGTCAAGGTGGTCCCAGTGGTGATCGGCACACTGGGTGCAGTGCCTGAAGACCTTGGCCTGTACTTAAACACAATAGGCGCTAACAAAATTACCATCTGCCAGTTGCAGAAAGCCACCTTACTGGGATCTGCATGTCTTATTCGCCGATACATCACACAGTCCTAGACACTTGAGAAGTGTCGGATGTGTGATCCAATTCAACAGCTAGCAGAGTGTCTGCTGTGGACTCATCTCGTTTTTCAAATAATAAATATAGTATATAGATAAACTTTGATAAAATCACGATCTGTCGTCTGCAAAAGGCCACCTTACTTGGATCTGCACGCATCATTCGAAAATGCATCACACAGTCCTAGACGCTTGGGAAGAGTTTGACTTGGGATTTTGTGATACGAAATCCAGCATTTGCTGTGACATACTGTGTTTTCGTGTCAGTAAAATAAATATAGTAAAATAATAAATGTAATAATAGAGTAGTAAAATAATAAATGTAATAATCATAACAAATAGAGAAAAATAACCTTTTCTTTTTCCAGGCTTGGGGGCGGCCCCAATGATGCCAAGGAAGTAATGGAGCACCGTTTCTTTGCTGCCATCAACTGGCAAGATGTTGTTCAAAAGAAGGTAAAAGGAGAACAGGGGTTTTGTTGTATAGCTCTCCCTCAAGAGTAGCTTATTTTCCATTCCCCTGGCTCTGGATGTTGCCTATGCTGGAACTGTACAAGTTCCAGTTCTTTTTGTCTAACTGGTTACATCCCGTATAGACTACTGCAATGTGCTGTACATGGGGCTGCCTCTAAAGACTGTTTGGAAGCTTCAAATGGTCCAACGGGTGGCAGCCAGGTTACTAACAGGAGCAGCGCTCAGGGAGCACACAACTCCTCTGTTGCGCCAACTCCACTGGCTGCCAGTTTGCTACCGGGTACAATTTAAAGCCCTAAACAGTTCTGGCCCAGCTTACCTGTCTGAATGTATCTTTCCCTATTAACCAGCTAGGAGCTTAAGATAGTCTGAGGAGGCCCTGCTCTAAGTCCCGCCTCCTTCGCAGATGATATTTTCGGGAACGAGAGACAGGGCCTTCTCAGCGGTGGCCCCTTGGCTATGGAATGCCCTCCCTAGGGATATCAGATTGGCCCCCTCCCTCCTAACATTTCGAAAAAGAGTTAGAACCTGGCTCTTAGAGCAAGCATTTGCAAATGCAGTGTAACAGACTAATGTAGATCTACGGAACAATTGGATGATGTGACGGGAAAATGAGTTTAGTAATGAGACTCTGAGGGCTTGTGTTTTATGGTTTTTATTGTTTCTGTTGCTTTTATATGGTGTATATTATATGTTAATGTTTTTAACGATATTTTGTGTTGTTGATGGCATTGATTGCCGATTATAAACTGCCTCGAGTCACCTTCTGTCTGAGAGAGGCGGTATATAAATATGGTAATAATAATAACTGCCTCACCCTCAGTTTTAGAGTAGTCACTTTTATCTTAGTTTTATGAGGTTAGAATTTAAGAAAACACTTCCTGGTTTGTGTCAGCCATTTTGTCCGTCCCTTTGCCTGAGGAAAGGGAGCCTTTTTAGATCAGACCACCAGGGAATCTTGGAAACAAGACCTGTCTGCAGTTGGTCCCAGTGAGATCCAAGCTTGGGCAAGACATTTCAAGTCAATTTTCTCAACCAATAATTAGGTAATCAATAATTAATTAACACCTTGGGCTTTATACGTTTCAAAGGCCCCTATACCAGAGACAGCGAGCAAGGAAAACTGTCATCGGGTTGTAGGTTTTTTCGGGCTATATGGTCATGTTCTAGAGGCATTCTCTCCTGACGTTTCGGCTGCATCTATGGCAAGCATCCTCACTACCTCTGAGGATGCTTGCCATAGATGCAGGCGAAACGTCAGGAGAGAATGCCTCTAAAACATGGCCATATAGCCCAAAAAAACCTACAACAACCCAGTGATTCCAGCCATGAAAGCTCCGACAATACATAAAACTCATCTATTCTCCTCAGACAATATACTAATTTATGCAGTGGTTTTGATATGAAATAAATAAATAAATAATCCTCAGAAATCATCCATGACTGGCAACTTCAGGAACAATCAGTTACCCTTCAAATTTTAAGTTTGGGCTTCGTTGTGGGGAAATCAAGTTAGTGCCTGGGTGGAGATAGACCGAAGACCAGTTAATAAATCATTAGTATTTTGTGAAAGTAATAACATGGACAATTGATTCTGTGGGATTCCTTTTTCAAACAGGAGGGCATTCTAGCATCCCCTAAGCTGACAGAAAGTCAGGACACGTTAATGCTAAAGAGACATTTAAAGCAGCTTGGGTGCGACTGCACATTGCCATTCTGTTTATGAGAAAGAATGGTCCAAGGTGGTGGGAACTGTGTGTGACGAAGCTGGGTCATGGAGTAAATTGGCCTATTTCTTTACAGCTCATCCCCCCCTTCAAGCCCCAGGTGACATCTGAAATCGACACGCGATATTTCGATGATGAGTTCACCGCGCAGTCAATAACCATCACCCCACCTGACCGATGTGAGTAGAGTGCTATATTTATTTATTTATTTACTACATTTATGCCCTACCTTCTCTCATCCTGAAGGGGATTCAGAGCAGCTTACAAGTTATATTTACATATGTACATATAATATATTATATAATTAGCATAGCACAATATTAGCGTTATATATTACTATATTGTACTACTAGTCATCCCCTGCCACGCATTGCTGTGCCCCAGTCTGGTGATCTGGTAAATAAAGTACCGTATATTCCGGGGTACAAGACGACTTTCTAAGCCTGAAAAATCATCTCAAAAATGGGGAGTCGTCTTGTACCCCGGCATAAATTTTTTTGGATCATTTTTCCCTCGTGTCCCTCGCCCTTGGCATCCCCGCGTGGTGGAGCCTGAGGAGGGAGGGCGGAGGGAGGGAGGGGGCGAGGAGGAGGAGCGGCAGGCTTCGCTACCGATCTGGCAGCATGGTAGCCTACTGGGCTGTCTTCACCTTCGCAGGCATTGAGTTGGGTCCGCCTCCGCCCTCCATCTCAGTGTAGCTGCTGCAGGAGGGAGCCAAAGCCAGAGGGGCGGGGCCTCTCGCTGCTCCGCCCCGCCCCCGCAGATGGCCCCGCCCCCCGGTTCCGCCCCCCCCCCCCGCTCCGTCTTCAACTCCTGCTGCTTTACCAGGCCGGCGAGGGTGTTTGCATGCAAAGCTAGCAGCAGACCAGTGGCGGAGGGGACAGCACAGCATGCAAACACCCTCGCCGGCCTGGTAAAGCAGCAGGAGTTGAAGACGGAGCGGGGGGGCGGAACCGGGGGCGGGGCCATCTGCGGGGGCGGGGCGGAGCAGCGAGAGGCCCCGCCCCTCTGGCTTTGGCTCCCTCCTGCAGCAGCTACACTGAGATGGAGGGCGGAGGCGGACCCAACTCAATGCCTGCGAAGGTGAAGACAGCCCAGTAGGCTACCATGCTGCCAGCTTGGTAGCGAAGCCTGCCGCTCCTCCTCCTCGCCCCCTCCCTCCCTGCGCCCCCCCTATGACTTCCTCTCACATATTTACATAGGGTCTCATCATGTCTCCTCTCAGCCTTCTCCAGGCTAAACATGCCCAGCTCTTTAAGCCACTCCTCATAGGGCTTGATCTCCAGACCCTTGACCTGCTCTCTCCTCCCTATGACTTCTTCTCACATATTTATACATGGCTCATCATGTATCCTCTCAGCCTTCTCTTCTTCAGGCTAAACATGCCCAGCTCTTTAAGCCACTCCTCATAGGGCTTGATCTCCAGACCCTTGACCTGCTCTCTCCTCCCTATGACTTCTTCTCACATATTTATACATGGCTCTTATCATGTATCCTCTCAGCCTTCTCTTCTTCAGGCTAAACATACTCAGCTCTTTAAGCCACTCCTCATAGGGCTTGTTCTCCAGACCCTTGATCTGCTCTCTCCTCCCTATGACTTCTTCTCACATATTTATACATGGCTCTCATCATGTCTCCTCTCAGCCTTCTCTTCTTCAGGCTAAACATGCCCAGCTCTTTAAGCCGCTCCTCATAGGGCTTGTTCTCCAGACCCTTGATCATTTTAGTCACCCTCTCTCTGGACACATTCCAGCTTATCAACATCTCCCTTCAGTTGTGGTGCCCAGAATTGGACACAATGTAATTCCAGGTTTGGTCTAACCACGGCAGAATAGAGCATGGGGAGCATGACTTCCCTGGATCTAGACACTATGCTCCTATTGATGCAGGCCAAAATCCTATTGGTTTTTTTTTTTTTTTTTTTGCCACCGCATGACATTGTTGGCTCATGTTTAACTTGTTGTCCACAAGGACCCCAAGATCTTTTTCACACATACCGCTCTCGAGCCACGCGTCCCCCATCCTGTATCTTTGCATTTCATTTTTGACAGAAGTCAAACTGGAAAGCTCTTATTTACCCAGGGTCCCCATTCCTCTTTTCTGATCTCTTTCCCCCTTCTAACAATTAAACATCACCTGGCTGTGTTCTTGAGAAACTCTAAAACAATTCAAGCTGTCACGGTGATTTAAGGATGAAGACATGTCAAGATGTGACCCAGTAAACATGTGCCATGCCAAATGCTACATTTCTGAAGGATGAGGGTCCAATCTGCCCCTCTCTTCTGATAGGAAGTTCTGATTTATAAAGACTGCTTATAGATAAAAATTCTACAAATGCTTTGCCTTCACCTCAGTACTCATAGTACAAAGCCTGACTTCTATTTGCATGCAAGCTTCTATGCCAACATACATGTAATCTGAACCATTTAAAGCCTGCTTTCATACTTGCCAGCATGATGGAAACGACCCAGAGCGTAAATGAAATTCAAGGGAGGAAGAGCAACTATAATGTCCAATGTAAGGTACAATGTCCCTCTCATAGGAACCTGCATGTCAAAAGCATTTGAATTCAAATTACCATATTGAATTCAAATCTGATTTTTTTAAAAAAATTATTTGGTGTGCATTGGAAGAGGGGTGGTCTTATACGGCGAGTATATCCCAAACTCTATATTTTAACTGGAAAAGTTGGGGGTCGTCTTATACGCCCAGTCGTCTTATATGCCGGAATATACGGTAATTAGAAAATAAAGTAATTGGTTTCTAATATATGTAATGTCTTGATGCTTGTGGGTAAACAGTATTTCTTGCTGTTTCTTTGTCAGTGTTGATGTGGAGAGTGTCTGGTTGGCCTACTCTGGAACATGTAACATATTATTCTTCTTCTTTAGGAATTCCTTTCAAATCTATGATACTATATCTCTGTGTGTGAATCATATCTATCTATATCTATGACTGGATGGCTCTTTGTCAGGAGGGCTTTGATTACATTTTCTTGCCCTGGTGAAGGGAGTTGGACTGGATGGCCTTAAGTATTTTCTGTGCCGTCGCACTTTGTGGGAAGTTTGGCCCAATTCTGTTGTTTGTGGGGTTCAGAATGCTCTTTGATTGTAGGTGAACTATAAATCCCAGTAACTACAACTCCCAAATGTCAAGGTCTATTTCCCCCAAACTCCATCTGTGTTGATATTTGGGCATATGGAATATTTGTGCCAAGTTTGGTCCAGATCCATCATTGTTTGAGTCCATAGTGCTCTCTGGGTGTAGGTGAACTACAACTCCCAAACTCAAGGTCAATGCCCACCAAACCCTTCTACCTTTTCTGTCAGTCTTGGAAGTCCTGTGTGCCAAGTTTGGTTCAATTTCATCGTTAGTGGAGTTCAGAATGCCCTTTGATTGTAGCTGAACTATAAATCCCAGCAACTACAACACCCAAATGACAAAATCAATTTTTTTGAGTGATGGTCACTTATTGGGTTGTTAGGCATATTCTGTTCAAATTTGGTGTCAATTCGTCCAGCGGTTTTTGAGTTATGTTAATCCCACAAACAAACATTACATTTTTATTTATATAGATAACACTATACTGTAATATTGTTAATAATATTATATGCAATATACAATATATAATTAACATTATCATATTGTATTATTATTATTATATTGTATTACTATTATCAATTCATTATATTCTTAGCATAACACAGTGTGAGTATTATATAGTACTATATTGTTGCTAAGGAGAGTGGCCCCCCAATTGATGGTACAGGAAACAAGGTGGAACTGTCTTCCTGGCTTCCCCGCTTCACTCATTGTAGCTCCTTGCAACCACATACCTCTGAGACACAGTCAGCTTGTGCTGTTTGGGCAATTCCACACCTAAGGACTGGGTTGGAGTATGCTGCCTTGCTCTTGGTACGAGTGAGGCTCTTTTGGGAAGCTGCCTTCTAATATTCTGGATTTTTTTTTTTTGTCATGTCAGGAGCGACTTGAGAAACTGCAAGTCACTTCTGGTGTGAGAGAATTGCCCGTCTGCAAGGACGTTGCCCAGGGGATGCCCGGATTATTTGATGTTTTTATCATACTTTTGGGAGGCTTCTCTCATGTCCCCGCATGAGGAGCTGAAGCTGATAGAAGGAGCTCATCCGCCTCTCCCTGGATTCGAATCTGCGACCTGTGGGTCTTCAGTCCTGCCGGCACAGGGGTTTAACCCATAGCGCCACTGGGGGCTCACATCTTCTGGAATGACATTTGCTAAGTCTGTGCTCTCCTTCCTTTTCAGATGACAGTCTGGATTCCCTAGATGCTGACCAGCGGACCCACTTCCCCCAGTTTTCCTACTCGGCCAGCATACGGGAGTAGGTCAGCAGCCTTCCCACGGCACGCCTGAAGGCGAGATGGACAGGGGAGGGTGCCAGGCAGCAGGACTCCATGTGGGGGGAGGGTGTGTGTTTCTGGCTCCTTCCCCCCACTTTTCCCCCCGTGGAGCTGCTCCTGCTGCACCCCAGCTTGCGGAGGGACTGCGTGGACTCCCCTGTGCCTGCTGCACTCGGCCTCCTGCAGCCGGGCCCCAGGGCAGGTCCTGCACATGCTACCATCAGGCAAGTCGCTTGGACAAGTGGAGCCCCTCTCCGCCTCCCCCTGACCTCCGAGCCCCTCTTGAGAATGGACTTGGGCATGTTTCTTCATTGCTTTTCATCGATCTGTGCCCTGCCATGGGCTTGCGTTTGGATGTTTGCTTGCAAAGCCACCTGAGTGGGAGGAAGCGGTCGTGCCGGTGCCGGAACATTTGCGTGAAGGTTGCCGGAGAAGGAAGGAACCTGTGGAATGGAAAGAACAGTTTGCAGCCACAAATGGGTATGCAGCACTCAATGGCACATTTTGTTGGGGGTGACAGCTGCTCCCCTTCCAACATGTTGTGTGGATCATGGAGCACACAAACCCTCATAAGCAAGAGCCACGGGTGGCAGCAGTGTCTGTGATGCCACTGAAATAAGCATTGTGCAGCCAAAGCTGAGCGCTCGCCAACGGTTCCAGGTTTGCAGAAAGGGACCCAGTTCTGCAAACTCCTCTGCCCCTCCTTGACCTCCAACATGCTCAAAGAGGGAATTGGCATGGAGTGCCTGGGTCTGCCTCCCTTGTTTGCCCAAAGGCGGCTGCCAGGGTGCAAAGGAGAAGTCCTCCTGCTGCTGCTACATGTGGTTACCAAAGCAATAACGGCTCTCTTCTGAACTGTCTTAACCCAAGGGCAAGGCGTGTTCCCTCCTCCTATTCCTCACCACTAGATCTACTTTTCTATCGTACAGTTGGCCAGCAGGCCTGGGCCTTGGGTGGGTGTTTGAGCAGTTGTGGCCATACACAAACCTTTTTGCCATCTTCTGCTTCTCTTAGTATAGTGGGCTGACTTATAGGACAGCTGCCACTAGTAGGAACCCTCCTTCTGCCCCTGTGAACAGTCGGAAAGACGAGGTGCTGCCGGGGCAAGGGAGCTCAAGGTCACTTTATCCCACCTGAAAGAATTGAAGCAATTTGGAGTTCTCCCCTTGCAGAGATTGGTTAGTCTGGACAGTTATCTCAGAGACATCAGTGTCTTTCTTTCTCTCAAATGCTGGTTGTGCATTGATGCATCGTGCGGTTGCTACCTCGGGAGGGCAAAGAACTCGCCCTCTTTCAAAACATTTGTCTGGCTTGACCCTTGGAGTCAGCCCCCTATGCTGTAATTTCCATCTGGCTAGGCACCCCAGCAAGTGTGTTGCTTTGTCCCAAGTTGCACAGAGAGTGAGGAGATGTATATACGTGTCCCATTACAGTCAGAACAGGGCAATCTGTTTTCTTGGCTCCCTCCTGCCCTGGCCTCAGTTGCATTCCTTGCAAATCTTCCCTTCTCACTCTGGAAGAGATGACCTTCCCTTACTATAACATTGTTTTGTGAACTATCTCCACTCTTAAATGCCTTTCTCCCACAAAGATGTGTCCCACACAGCACCCACTGCTTTCTGTGCTAGCCTTCCTGTTGTTCCAGCTATGGATCAGGGATAGGCAGGAGACCAGGCAGACTGGCTGGCTACCTCTAGCCTTCAGTGTTTGCAGTGATGGGAGAGAGAGGACAGCGCTGAGATGGACACATTTTTAAACTTCCCCGAAAGAAACAGGGAAAAATTAGAGTCTGGCGCTCAGTCAATGCCCCAACCATCTTGGCCCTTTATGCTTTCTGATTCCATTTTTTTTCATCCTCAAGATGCCAATGTGTTCTGCCCTTTGTTCTCTCTCCCCATCACACACAAACTGACAAGCAAATCCCCATAAGTCTGAGATGAGCTTGTTCTTGTATAGCTGTGTAGAATCACAGAATGACTAGATTACCTTGAATGTCTTCAAATACCTTATGCTCTTTGGGGGGGGGGGGGGAGTTCCCCCTTTGTCATTGTGGCTATGCTTGCTTTGGCATCTATTACCCAGAGAGCAAAAGCAGCCCAAGCCCTAGGTCTTTGCAAAGACCAACTGCGCCACTGTCTCTGTGACATTGTACGCTGTAGAGGGGATAGGAATGGTTGAAAATCCTGTGTATAGTTAGCAGGAGTAGAGTGGGGAAAGTGAACTCAGCTGAACACACAAGGTTGGATTATAACAGAATCTAGATCTCCCTCTTCCAGGAGTTCTCTACTCCGGTGCAGTGTCAGGAGAGAGAATGCTAATTGGAAGGAGAATATCCACCCATATGGTGTCATTTGCAGTGCTTTTCCTTTGGGGAGGCATGGAGCATTTCAGCTTGTATTCAGTCCATTGTTTAGATTTCCATTGGGTATGGTGTGGCAGTAGTCCAATACATCTTAATGGGTGGGGAGACAACTGCACTATATATCAACGACGGAGCAGGATTATTAAAGGAACCTGATTCCTGTGGTGTATGGAAACTGCCTTATAATCCCTGGTCACCCCAACCTAAAATTGTCAACTCTGACAAGTTGAGTGGGGAAGAGGTGTAAGGATGTCTGGAGGCAGGATCCACTGCCTGGTAGGCATGGTTCTAAATGGTTTTAAAGTACTTACAAAACTAGGGTGTACTGGTGCTTTGCTTCTAAAGTGTTTCTAAAGTTCTGGTGCTAAAATTTCAGAACTCTTAAAACTTTCAAAATTTCGTTATAAAGGGCAGTTCCTAATTGGTTCTGTCATAAAAATCGCCAGTAATGGAAATAATAATGAAAATTTGAAAGTTTTGTTAAAGTTCTGAAATTTTAACCACCAGAACTTTAGAAACACTTTAGAAGCAAAGCACCAGCTTTAGCAACACTTTAGAAACAAAGCACCAGCGCTCCCTAGTTTTGTAAGTACTTTGGAACTTTAGAGCCATGGATTGCCCATGCCGACTGCCTAGTCTTTCTGGAATTAAACACAAGCCAACATGGCCTTTGTCTGCTAAGAGATCATAGGAGTGTGCAGTTCACAGGAACCACTGTGTTTTTGGGGGGTCCTTTCATTCACTCACTGAATACCAGGCGAAGTCAGTGAGAGACGCGAAACACAGAAGAGTGCTTCTGTGGGAAATCCTTCCCTCTGGTTAGGGATGGAAGAGTCCGTTACAAAAGCAGCTGCCATTTCCGAGAACCATTCTCTTAGAACGGCTTCCTACATTGATGTGGGGGATTTAGCAGGCAAACATTAATGTGCCCTTTGCCTCTGAATTGTTTCTTTCCTGGACTGGCAGCTGGACCACCACTCTGAATAACACTGCCTTAGAACTTGTGTGCCAATGTTTGTTTGCATTGGGAAGCAAGAATCAAATTCTTACGTAGCCTTCAAGCAGATCCTTGGAAAGTGCAAGGGGTACAATTGCAGACGGGATTGCTCTCGCAGGGTATGGGAATAGTCTTCTAAGCAGCTTTAAAGGGTCTGAGGTAATTGGGAGGAGCTACCAATGGCCATGGTCTACAAGCCACCATGCTTCAAGGGCTGCTTTGCTCACACTACCTCTTCCTTGGCAATGAAAAAAGAGCAGCTCTGGTGTCTGAGCAAGGCTGCAAATCCAGTACTAGGCATGGGCAGTCCATGATTCTAAAATACTTACAAAACTAAAGCTCTGGTGGTGAAAACTAGGCAGCGCTGGTGCTTTGCTTCTATAGTGTTGCAAACGTTCTGGTGGTGAAAATTTCAGAACTCTTAACAAAACTTCCAAATTTTTGTTATAAATGGCAGTTGTTAATTGTTTCTGTCATAAAAATCGCCAATGAAATTTTGAAAGTTTTGTTAGAGTTCTGAAATTTTCACCACCAGAACTTTAGCGACACTGTAGAAGCACAGCACCAGCACAGCCTAGTTTTCACCACCAGAACTTTAGTTTTGTAACTACTTTAGAACCATTTAGAACCATGGATTGCCCATACCTACCCAGTACTCCAGAAGTTGCTGGCCTTCTCTGTAATGAATGATATGGGCACTCCCTCAGCCTTGCTTAGTGCCCCACAAACCTTGCAGGAGTCGTGATCGCGTTTTTGTTTTGGGGGGGGGGGGGGCAGCAGGAATCTACACATCAGAAACAGATGTGGGTGCCCCATGCTTGCAGAACTCTTTCATTTCTTGAGCAATGGCTGCTACTGCGTGCTAAGCCCCCCGCCCAACCATTCTTGAGGGGTGAAGAATCCCCCCCCCCCTTGGAGGCAGGCAGCCAGTGCTGGAACAGGCCCAGCAAAGCAGGCTGGGGTCTGCAGGATTGCTGGCAGACCTGCTGACCATGGAGCACATTGCAGAGGTTTTTCTGTGGCCCAGCTCCAACTCTCTGAGCCCTTTCGCCTTAAGATCCCCATTAATGGGAAGCATTCCTGGGGTGTCTCAGCTGGATCCTGGTGATCCTGGCTGGTCATCCCATGTTCTTACCTCACCCCCAGCGGTGGCCCTTTACTGGTCAGTCCCAGTAAAGCTTCTTCCTCTTCCTGAATAGGAGAGACATCTGTTTGAATGTACTTGCACGCCTGACCCCCATCCAGCTGCAAGAGACCCCCAAATACCAACAAGCCATGACTCCACTCTTGTGCCATCGCCAGGACTCAGGTGGCCCTAGCTAATGGGTGGCCCTTATTGTTACAACCTCTCCAAAGAGCACGGCGCCTTTGGAAGCTGTTTCCTCTTCTAGACAGGTAGCCCCTTGGCCTGGATGACGACATTTCCCTCTGCTGGGTCTACAGGCAGCAGGCTGCCTAAGCATGGCTATGCTACCCAGGGTTAGCGGGAGAGAGTAACAGGCTGATTCTAAGGTATCCTAGCCTTGTCCTTTTGCCATCTCACTGTCATCAGGTGCCAAGTGACACTTCGGGTGGGGTCAGGCTGGAACTGGCGTTATATCTTCGAATTAATTGAGGGCACGGTAATGCCCCCATTTCCGCCCGGATGGGGAATTGGCGGATTTGGACTGAATACAGCAGCCACAGTTGCCCTGTGGCTACCACTTGGCCTTCTGTTTTCAGGGCAAGCCTTCCTTCGATGCCTGCCAAACGCCAAAGTGCCAGCGGTCTCAGAACCTCAATGTGACGCTTTGTGGTTTTCACAACTTGGTCTGCTTTCACCCTTCAGGAAAGAAACTTGGGGTCATAACCAAGACGTATAGGAAGGCTTGGATGCCCAGACGACGCATATGAATTCAGGGTGAAACCCACAGACGGACTTTTAAAAAACAGTGACGTGCATACAAACGCGAGGAGTGGGGTTAATAAAAGTATTGTTCCCCCCACTTGGTTTCTGTAGTTGTGGTAGTTGAGGTTTCTTAAACAGAGTACTGACCCTTGTTAGCAGCTTTGGGGAGGGGTGGGGGTGTTTCTGCTGATGTGCCGTGTTTTTGTTCTTTGTGGTCTCGCTTTCCAATTCTTGAAACCAAGCCCCCAGCAGCACTTGCAAACAGAGCCAGCCTTTCTCGGGCTTTTTGCCAAGATCAAGAATCGAGCTTGTAAAATAAGGTTTTCTGAGAGGCAAGTACTCCAGAGCATCTTTTGTAAAAAGTAGCCGATCATTAGGATGCACCTAGAAATGCTTGGGTTTTTTTTGTTTTCAGTTGGGTTTTTTAAGCCTTGGAGGTGCCTTCCTCTACCCTTGGATTTGTACGGTACAAGCAATAAAAAAAGTTTTGTTTTCTTTCTAGGATGTGTGCTCCTGTTCTTGCTGTAATACACTCGTCATTTTCAAGTTTTAGGGTGTTGAACCATCACACCCCCCCCCCCCAATTACTCTGCAAAAAAGTGCTTTATAATCTTCCGTCCTGTGTACAGTAGAGTCTCACTTATCTGACATTTCGTCTTATCCGATGCTCTTATACAACCCCCCTTTTCCTCCAGCATTTCCCCTTCAATTAAAGAAGTGCCCCCCCAACACTCTCTGTTCACAATAAGCAAAAAAAGCAAGACGAGGAGGAGGAGAAAGGAGAAGAAGGGGAAAAGAGGCAGGACCAGAAGCGGAAGCGTCCTTCCACCCTGTTGTGATTTCCATGCTCCTCTTCTGCATCCAGGCACTTCCTGCCTGGCTGCTCTCGCCCCAAGGCGTCCCCTTTCCTTAACCTTGTGTTTCTCAACCTGGAGGTCAGGACCTCTGGGGGGGGGGTCGTGAGGAGGTGTCAGAGGGGTCGCCAAAGACCATCTGAAAACACAGTATTTTCTGTTGGTTGTGGGGGTTCTGTGTCAGAATTTTGGCCCAATAAGTCTCCGGAACTACAACTCCAAAATGACAAAATCAACCCTCCTCAACCCCACCAGTATTTGGGCGTATCGGGTATTTGTACCAAACTTAGTCCAGTGAATGAAAATACATCCTGCATATCAGGTATGTACATTACGATTCATGACAGTAGCAAAATTACATTTATGAAGTATCAACGAAAATAATTTTATGGTTGGGGGTCACCACAACATGAGGAACTGTATTAAGGGGTTGCGGCATTAGGAAGATTGAGAAACATTACCTTAACCTTTTGAGTCCCTGTTGATAGTATTCTAGATGTCTAGCGCCGTGTTGGACAAGTAACAGTAGGAAACTATAATCCATTTTCATTTATCCGACGTTCTGCTGACCCTTTTATGTCGGATAAGTGAGACTACTGTATATTGAGTTCCATTGAGTATATTGTATGCTGCCCTTGAGAGAGAGCATGATACAATGCTTTGAATGTGCATTATTCCTCCAGGAGTAGTAGTTATATGTCTTCAAGCCATTTCTGAGTTACATTGAACTTATCCTAGCGTTTTCTTGGTAGGATATGTTCAGAGGCGGTTTTCCTGTGTCTTCTCTTGAGACTGAAAGTGTGTGACTTGGTCAAGTTCACCCAGAAGATTTCCATGGCCAAGCAGGGATTTGAATCCTGGGTGCATAAAAGGGTAATTCAAATAGTCAAGCATGCTATCCTAATGATAACGTTAGCTTCTAAAAAAGGTAAGTGGGACCAAGACAGCTGAACAAAATAAAACATTGTTAATAATAATGGTAATAATAACAAACAGAGGCAGTTCAAGCCTGGATTTGGGGTGAGCTCCTGTTGTCAGCCCAGCTTCTGCTTACCTAGCAGTGAGTAGATTAATAGGTACTGCTTTGGTGGGAAGGTAATAACAGGTGCACATGTGGACATACCGGTGATTTGATTGGAAAAGCATCTACGGACAACAAAGCTCCTCATCAAGGAAGATGGAGTGACAGCACCTCCCCATGGCCGGAGTTGAGCACAGCCTCCAGATGCCGGAAATGGAAAAAGATGGGAAGAGCCTTTACCTCTGTTTATGTACTATCTGTCTTTGTTACTGTATATGTGTTCTATAATCTTCCCTGAGTCCCCTTGGGGAGATAGGGTGGAATATAAATAAAGTATATTATTATTATTATTATTATTATTATTATTATTATTATTATTATTATTAAAAACTCTAAAATTACAACAGCAAAACAACAGAGGGGAAACAGGCACATCTAATCCCCTCTCAACAAAAGATTGCCCCAGGCACTGCCAGACCATCAAATGCTAATCAAGATGGTCAGTTGAAATATTCACACCTAGCTCCAACAGACAAGAGTTCTTTGCACCACCCTGGTCATTCCACAGATATATAAACCTTTTTTTCCTAGTTCCAATAGACCTCACTACCTCTGAGGATGCTTGCCATAGATGCAGGTGAAATGTCAGGAGAAAATACCTCTAGAACATGGCCATATAGCCCGAAAAAACCTACAACAACCCAGTGATTCCAGCCATGAAAGCCTTCGACAATACAATATTATTATTATTATTGTTATTATTATCATTATTATTTAAAATAACCACAACGCTATGTTGAAGCTGAAGCATAGGGGCAAGCAGCAATCCTTCCCCAGCAAGTAATTTAACTTTGGAATTTGCCACCACCAGATAAGGCAATGGCTGACAACCTGGCCCACTTTAAATGTCAATTTTATAAACAATTGTCAATTATTTAAATATCAATTACATAAATATATAAATAATAATAAACCCACTGGTGCAGTGGGTTAAACTGCTGAGCTGCTGAACTTGGTGACCGAAAGGTTGCAAGTTCGAATCCGGGGAGTGAGGTGAGCTCCTCCTGTTAGCCCCAGCTTCTGCCAATCTAGCAGTTCAAAAACATGCAAATGTGAGTAGATCTATAGGTATCGCTCCGGCGGGAAGGTAACGTCACTCCATGCAGTCATGCCAGCCACATGACCTTGGAGGTGTCTACTGACAATGCAGGCTCTTCAGCTTAGAAATGGAGATGAGCACCAACCCCCAGAATTGGACACAACTGGACTTAATGCCAGGGGAACACCTTTACCTTTACTGATATAAATTTAAGATTGCTAACTGAAGTCAATAATATCATTATTTATTTACACAGAACCATCTCATTGCACTTGGCACTCCACAAAATGAAAAGAAAGTCCTGTCAATACCATACAAAATAAATGCACATGCACCTCTCCCACCTCCATACACCCTTGCAGCGGATGTGTTTGGCACCATGTTCTGTGACAATGCATACCATGAGTTAGAATGGAAACATAAAACTCCAAAATGTCTCAGGACCCAGGCCTTCCTAGTGGTAGTGATCCCTTTTCTCCCTAACAAGCCTTAATTAACCCAACCTGGGAGCCAGTTGGAGTTTCCAGCCAGTCTTGTTCCTTTGGGGAAAGCTGAGCTACCTTCCGAACCTTCTTGATTTTGCCATTGGAAGTATGTGGGGCAAACCCACAACCTACCTTGCCACAAGCCCTTGGTCTGTGCTGCGGAGAGGGGTAAGAGATGTCTTTGAATCTATTAATTTGAACTCACTGGAAGGGAGAAGGCAACATTGAATAACTATTTTTAGAGAGGGTTGTTGTAGGGTTTTTTTTGGGCTATGTGGCCATGTTCTAGAGGCATTCTCTCCTGACGTTTCACCTGCATCTATGGCAAGCATCCTCAGATGTAGCTCTCAGTGTAATGTGTTTGTTGCTGGTGAAGGGAATGTTTACATTCTGCACATGCTCAGATTTATTGTTTTTCAAAATTGACATAGTGAGTTTCATCCTGTCTCTTTCTTTTGAGTAGATGGCTGGCTTTCCTAGCTTGCTCAAAGTCAAGACTGCAGAGGCAGAGGTCTCTTGTAGAGTCATGGGGCAGAATCTCTTTCTTATCCATTCAAAATTCTAGCTTTGTGGGAAAGGGTCATTTTACTCCATATCCAGCAGGACTCATAAAATACTTTTGCCTCTCCTGAGCTGGATCTTTAGCAAGTGTAGGTGCTGGCTGGTGGATAAGTGGCATCCCTAAAGTTAGAGAGCTTGAACATTATAGGAATGGAAAGGAATACCTATCTGTTCCTTTAAACCAGTGTTTCTCAACCTAGGGGTCGGGACCCTTTGGGTGGGGGGGATCGCAAGGGGGTGCCAAAGAGGTCGACAAAGACCATCAGAAAACACAATATTTTCTGTTGGTCATGGGTGTTCTTTGTGGGAAGTTTGGCCCAATTCTATCGTCGGTGGGTTTCAGAATGCTCTTTGTATCATCTTATTTCCTGATTTTGTGTGAAGCCAGGAAATCAGGCTATGCCTTAGATCTGACCTGTGTATATTTGAAACAAGGGCAAGGGTTGCAGTGGAAATGGGAATAATGAAGGGAAGGGGTCAGCATGGATAGGATGCATGAAGGAAATAAACTGGCATTTTGTTTCGTACCCAAATGTATGCTTTTGAATTAAGCCTACTTTATTCATTTGGTTGGGGGTTTTTTTTGCCTGAAAGCTACAGATCTGGAGACTTTGTAGGTGAATTATAAATCCCAGCAACTACAACTCCCAAATGTCAAGGTCTATTTTCCCCAAACGCCACCAGTGTTCACATTTGGGCATATTGAGTATTTGTGCCATGTTTGGTCCAGATCTATCATTGTTTGAGTCCATAGTACTCTCTGTTGGTGAACTACAACTCCAAAACTCAAGGTCAATGCCCACCAAACCCTTCCAGTATTTTCTGTTGGTCACGGGAGTTCTGTGTGCCAATTTTGGTCCAATTCTATCATTGATGGGGATCAGAATGCTCTTTGATTGTAGGAGAACTATAAATTCCAGCAACTATAACTCCCAAATGTCAAGGTCTATTTCCCCAAACTCCACCAGTGTTCACATTTGGGCAGAGTGAGTATTTTTGCCAAGTTTGGTCCACATCCATTATTGTTTGAGTCCATAGTGCTCTCTCTGTTGGTGAACTACAACTCCCAAACTCAAGGTCGATGGCCACCAAATCCTTACAGTATTTTCTGTTGGTCATGGGAGCTCTGTGTGCCAAGATTGGTTCAATTCCATCACTGGTGGAGTTCACAATGCTCTTTGATTGTAGGTGAACTATAAATCCCAGCAACTACCACTCCCAAATGACAAAATCTATCAAACAATGGAAGTCACCACAACATGAGGAACGGTCTTAAGGGGTTGTAGCATTAGGAAGGTTGAGAACCACTCTTTTAAATCCTCCCCAATTCTGCTTACTTGCAGGTGGCAGATGAAAAAAGGGAGCCTTTGAAAAGCAAGGACAACAAAGGTTTGAATAGTGAACAATCATGTGGAAAGGTGAGTGTTTTTCTAACTCATAGCCTGGATCTGCCTAGTTGGTGACCATACTTTGATAGCTATCTTTTCGAGTAAGACAAGTTTCAGAGCTCACTTTAGTTGTGAAGCCTCATTCTCCCACATAAAAGGATTGAGTGCCAACAGCCCCAAATGGACAGGAGTGTGATGCCACTTAATGAGATGGAGAAGAATGAAGCCATGCAGTAATAGGCATCCAAGAACAACAGTCCATGTACTGCAAGCATTTGTTTTGCTGAATGCTAACCGTGGCCTCTGAATGAACAAGGGAGATCAGGGTTGCCTTCCTGGTTTGTTCAAGCTCGTTTCCACTTCTATTTCCAGGAAAAATCTTCAGATATGAAAATTAGGCACAGGGGTGGATATGAAAAGGGCCTGTGTAAGAAGACTAAGCTAACACAGCGTTTTCCAACCTGGGGGCCGGAGCCCCTGGGGGGGGGGGGTGTCGCCAAAGACCATCAGAAACACAATATTTTTTGATGGTCATGGGAGTTCTGTGTGGAAAGTTTGGCCCAATTCTATCATCGGTGGGGTTCAGAATAGTCTTTGAACTATAAATCCCAGCAACTACAACTCCCAAATGTCAAGGCCTAGTTTCCCCAAACTACACTAGTGTCCACATTTGGGCATACTGAGTATTTGTGCCAAGTTTGGTCCAGATCCATCATTGTTTAAATCCACGATGGTCTCTGGATGTAGGTGAACTATAACTCCAAAACACAAGGTCAATGCCCACCAAACCCTTCCAGTATTTTCTGTTTGTTATGGGAGTTCTGTGTGCCAAGTTCGGTTCAATTCCATCATTGGTGGAGTTCAGAATGCTCTTTGATTGTAGGAGAACTATAAATCCCAGCAACTACAACTCCTAAATGACAAAATCAATCCCTCCCAATCCCACCAGTATTCAAATTTGGGTGTATCAGGTATTTGTGCCGAATTTGGTCCAATGAATGAAAATAATCCTGCGTATCAAATATTTACATTACGATTTATAACAGTAGCAAAATTGCAGTTATGAAGTAGCAACAAAAAAAGTTATAGTTGGGGGTCATCACAACACGAGGAACTGTATTAAGAAGTCGTGGCATTAGGAAGCTGGAGAACCATTGATCTAATCCAAACATTGCTTGATATTGAAGGTAGGTGTGCCAGGCAAGGGACCATCCCAAGCCCCAAATGAAATATTAATTACCTTGATGCGCAATGATAATAAATTATTATTATTATTATTATTATTATTATTATTATTATTAATAACAATAACAATAATAATAAAGCCATTAGAATCAATGCCATCAAAGCCAGAGTTGAAAAGTCGATGACAGATCCCATATGCAGACTCTGCAAGGAAGCAGATGAAACAATAGATCACATCCGCAGCTGCTACAAGAAGATTGCGCAGACAGACTACAAGCAGAGGCATAACACCATTGCTCAGATGATTCATTGGAACTTGTGCCACAAATACTATCTGCCTGTGATGAAGAACTGGTGGGACCACAAGCCAGAAAAAGTTACAAAGAATGAACATGTCAAGCTACTCTGGGACTTTTGGATTCAGACAGACAGAGTTTTGGAGCACCATATTCCTGACCTCACAATCATGTTAAAAAACAAAGTATGGATTGTTGATGTTGCAATCCCAGGTGACAGTAGGATTGAAGAGAAACAACTGGAAAACCTGACACGATATGAGGATTTAAAGATCGAACTGCAAAGACTCTGGCACAAGGCAGTAAAGGTGGTCCCAGTGGTGATCGGCACACTGGGTGCAGTGCCTAAAGACCTTGGCATGCACTTAAACACAATCGGCGCTGACAATATTACCATCTGACAGCTGAAAAGGCCACCTTACTGGGATCTGCACACATTATTCACCAATACATCACACAGTCCTAGACACTTGGGAAGTGTCTGACGTGTGATCCAATACAACAGTCAGCAGAGTGTCTGCTGCGGACTCATCTTGTTGTGTTTCAAATAATAATAATAATACCTTGGTCTTTTCCCAACATGGGACCCAAGATAACCCATCACAGAAACAACACAGCTTTAAAAATATCATAATGCTATTGCAACTATTGTACTTTGTGTGGCTGCTTCAGGTGTCACTCCATCCAATTTCTCTCCATGCAGTGGTGGCCAATAGAGCAAGGAACACTCACTGTTGGGAAGGAAGCTGGTGACTTCTACAGTATTTGCTGTTAACCTCTGTCTTCTTAAATCTGTCTTGCAGAAGAAAAAGATCCCAGGAAGCAATGAAAAAGAATTGACATCTGAGAAGCTGGGGGCCATCTGTCCCAGGACTCTTCCAGAAGCCCCTCTGCAGAGAGGTAAGGAGTAGAAGGCAGAAAAGGGTATTCAGGGAGGACAGATTGCAGGATGAATACAAAATGGGGATGTGTTGGGAATGTTGAGAAGACTGCCTTGCCATGGAGCAGTGGTTCTCAACTTGTGAGTCCCCAAATGTTTTGGCCTTCAAGTCCCAGAAATCCTAACAGCTGGTAAACTCTAGGAGTTTTGGGAGTTGTAGGCCAAAACACTTGAAGACCCACTGGTTTGGAACCACTGCAATCGAGGGTAAAAAGACTCGTTTCATGTTTCCATTTGAATTCAGTCTCTTCTCTCTTGGATGTCTGGAAAAAACAACAACAAGGTTAAAAATGAAGGCACTGACTAATTGCACAAAGTGTAAGCGAGTCAAATTGCACAACTATCGCACTCTTTCTCTCTGCCCTTTCCTCAGTTGTTCCTGCCTCAGAATCCCTCACTGAGGAACTGTCCCAAGCCATGCTGCGAATGAATATGGGCCTAGAGAGGGAATATGCTTACGACATCTTCAGCAGTATGATGGTGAGCTGGAAAAGGACAAAGACAACAGCAGGAGGTTGTATACCAGTCAGAGTTGTCCACTGATGGGGAGATTTGTAATTGTTTATCTGTTCAGTTACTTCCAATTTCATGACCTCATGGACCAGCCCACGGCAGAGCTCCCTGTTGGCCGTGGCCAACCCCAGCTCCATCAAGGTCAAGCCAGTCACTTCAAGGGTACCATCCATCCATCTTGCCCTTGATCGGCCCCTCTTCCTTTTTCCTTCCATTTTCCCCAGCATCATTGTCTTCTCCAAGCTTTCCTGTCTTCTCATGATGTGGCCAAAGTACTTCACCTTTGTCTCTAGTATCCTTCTCTCCAATGAGCAGTCAGGCTTTATTTCCTGGAGAATGGATTGGATCTTCTTCTGGTCCAAGCAAGATCACCACAGTTCAAAAGTGTTAATTTGATGGGGAAGAGGCCATTCTAAAATCCCAAAGAAGGAAACAGTTGCATTTCCATGCTGGAGGGTGGCAGTTATCACAGGACTGAAGCAGCTTTTCACTTTCTGCACTTTTTGGATCTCCTAATTCCCAGAAGCCTCAACAATGTGGTTTTGTGAATGATGGGAGTTGCAGCCCCAAACCCCAGAGGATGGGTATCTTATTGATCAAGTTGGTCATTCATTGCTCAGGAGCAGACATGGGAGGTGGAGGGCCTTAGATTAAGTACTCTTTGTGGAAATATTCATTCTGATCTAGTTCCAAAATTTGCAAAATAGCAACGGCAGAAGTTGGCCATAGGGTTGCCCTAGAAGACCTGGAAATTCCTAGAGAAACCAAATTAACCAAATCCATGCTAAATCAGATCTGCAGAAGTCAAACCCACAAATACGGAAGATCAACTGTAGTACCTGACTAAGCAATTTCATTACCATGACTTGCTAATCATGCAACCCCATGTTGCAAATTTGGCAACTGTACCAAAACAAAGTACAGATTTCATTGGCCTCAAAGTGGTTAACTTTGTCTGACACAGAGGAATAGGCAAAGGGGACGTATGTCTAGGCCAGAAACGGTGATGGCTTTGAAGAGGTGTGTACAAGATGCCAAAGATGAACCTTGGGGTGTCTTGTCTTGTCCTCCCTCAGCAGAAGCAGCAATCGTATGCCTTCCAAGCCTTTGACTTGCCACGCTCCATCACGCCGGAGATGCGTGCCCTTGTTATCGACTGGCTGGTGCAAGTTCATGTAGGTATTGGCAAAATTGCCCATCCAAGTGGGGTTGCTGGATCCCTGAGTCTCCAGGTTTCCTGAGTTTTCCCAAGGTGGGAGACGAGGGTTCAAATTCCCCAGTTTTTGTGGGCACTGTTCCAGGGGAGAGGAAATGGCTGTGTGCCGACCCACAGCTCAGACAACAGAGCAACACCTTCCAGCAATTTGAGTTCAAAGTAAAGTGTTCTACTTTCTCTAGAGTTAGGGGCACATGACTCCCCACAAAACCTGAAAAAAATCCACTTAAAATGTGCTTTTTTAACATTGGAGAATTCTTCTCTCTCTCTAGGTCCTCTTCCAATTATATGAGTCTAAATGATAATAATAATAATAATAATAATAATAATAATAATAATAACAACAACAACAACAGATAATAATAGATAATAATGCATGATAATATAACTGTAATTCCATCTTTGTACTTGAAAGAATGGGGTTGAACTGAATCTCCTTTGGGGTCCTTTCCAACTGTAGTACAGGTAAAGGTTTCCCTTTGACATTAAGTCTAGTCATGTCTGACTCTGAGGGGAAGTGCTCATCTCCATTTCTAAGCCAAAGAGTCAGCATTTTCCATAGACACCTGCAAGGCTATGTGGCCGGCATGACTGCATGGAGCGCCATTACCTTCCCACCCATTGATCTACTCAATTTTGCATGTTTTAAAACTGCTAGGTTGACAGAAGCTGGGGCTAACAGTGGCAGCTCACCCCAGTGCCCGGATTCAAACCTCCAACGTTTCGGTCAGCAAATTCAGCAGCTCAGCGCTTTAATCTGCTGCACCACCAGAGGGATATAATTGATTGAATAATATAATACTTCCATCTTTCTGCTTGGCAGACCACTGGAAGCTGACTATAGAATCACACTGTAGGACCCTAGAGATTCCCAGACTGAAATGAGTAATCAAATCTGCAAATGTCAGATCTTTAAATGTGGAGGGGCAACCATATAAACAGCATCAATTGAATTGAGGTTCAGTTTATTCAACTAAAGTCGGGAGGAGATGGCTGAATTTTGGCCTTCCCAGTAGGCTCAGGCAAAAGCAAATTACTGCAGCCTTTCCTAGCTTGTGTTTTCTTCCTCCATAATAACTTCGCTTGGGATTCTGGAAAGCATGCTGCCCTCTTAAGGTCCGTTGTTGGGTGAGGGAAGGGGGGTGATGCAAGACCAACCTGACCCCATGCTCTTCTGCCTATGTCACTGTCCCCAACCTGGACATCTTCCCCTACCAGGACTATTTTTGTCTGTCTGATGAGACACTCTACCTGACAGTCTACCTGATGAATGCCTACATGAAAGCAGGCAAGGTGCACATCCTCAGCCTTCAGCTCCTTGGCATAGCTTGCCTCTTTGTGGCCTGCAAGGTGGAAGACAGCACTTGCCCAGAGGTAAGGAGACAGCTGGGACTTTCCCCCTCTGAGGGCTTTGGGGGAAGGGAAACAGTGAAAGCCTTATTTGGGATGGCCCCTGTGTCTCAAATGTAGACACACACAGATACTGCATTAGCAGAAGCCTCCTCTCCCCAAGTGTGCCTTTCCTTCTTACCTGCAGGCGAACCAGTTGTGCTTCATGACACAGGACTCGTTCACCTGGAAGGAGCTGCTGCGCATGGAGCGCAAGATCTTGACCCGCCTGAAGTTTGAACTACATTATGCCAACCCTCTCCACCTGCTCCACTGGGTGGCAGAAGTGGCCCAATCCACCTTGGAGGTAAATATCAGTAGCCTTAAGGAGGATGGGGAACCGCTGAGCCCCATCCAAGGATCTTATGCCCTCCAACTGTCTCAGTTTGGTAGGGACAGTGCCAGTTAAGCCTCTGCTAACTAACTTTGCTCTCTGTCTCTACAACAGTGGTTCTCAACCTTCCCAATGTCGTGACCCTTTAATACAGTTCCTAATGTTGTGGTGACCCCCAACCATCAAAATATTTTCGTTGCTATTTCATAACTGGAATTTTGGTACTGTTATATAAATGGTAATGTAAATATCTGATTTGCAGGATGTGTTTTCATTCACTTGACCAAATTTGGCACAAATACCCGATACACCCAAATTTGAATACTGGTGGATTTGTTGGAGGAGGTGGGTGGTTTTGTCATTTGGGAGTTGTAGTTGCTGGGATTTATAGTTCACTTACAATCAAAGAGCATTCCGAACTCCACCAATGGAATTGAACCAAACATGGCATACAGAACTCTCATGATCAACAGAAAATACTGAAAGGGTTTGGTGGGCATTGACCTTCAGTTTTTGAATTGTAGTTCACCTATATCCAGAGAGCACTGTGGACTCAAACAATGATGGATCTGGACCAAACTTGCCACAAATACCCAACATGCCCAAATGTGAGCACTGGTAGAGTTTTGGGGGAAATAGACCTTGACATTTGGGAGTTGTGGTTGCTGGGATTCACTGACAATCAAAGAGCATTCTGAACTCCACCAGCAATGGAATTGAACCAAACTTGGCACAAAGAACTCCCATGACCAACAGAAAATACTGGAAGTGTTTAGTACACATTGACCTTTGAGTTGTAGTTCACCTACATCCAGAGAGCACTGTGGACTCAAACAATGATGGATCTGGACCAAACTTGCCACAAATACTCAACATGCCCAAATGTGAACACTAGTAGAGTTTTGAGGGAAATGGACCTTGACATTTGGGAGTTGTGGTTGCTGGGATTTATAGTTCACCAACAATCAAAGATCATTCTGAACCCTACCAATGATATCATTGGGCCAAACTTCCCACACAGAACCCCTATGTCTTAAAGGGACTTGCTGGCGCGAACCTCTCTCCAGCCTCGCTCACTCTCTCTCAGCCTCCCATGCGCACCACGCTGCCATACACCAAGCACGCCTGCTCTCCCCTCCACTCGGTGTCTCAGAAACAGTCCTCCCCTTGGCTGGGAGGCCGGCCAATCAGAGCAGAGGAGGAGCAAAGGAAGAGACAAACAGGCGGAGAAATCTTCAGCCTTATTGGCCAAAGGGGTTTCTCAGACCATCTGAAATATATGTTTTCTGAAGGTCTTTGGCAACTCTTCTGAAACCCCCTTGTGACCCCCCCCCCCCGGGATCCTGACTCCCAGGTTGAGATACGCTGTTATAGAGGATAGGGAACCACTGAACTCCATCCAAGGATCCTTGTCCTCTAACTGTCTCAATTTGGCAGGAACCGTGCCAGTCAATCCTCTGCTGACCCACTTTGCCTCTGTCTCTACAGTGCCCCATTTTCTTTTTCATCCTCTCACTTCTTTGCCCGCATCTTGCTTCAGCTGCTGCAATGTGAATCAGAGTGTAGAAATGGTTAATTCAGTAGTAGAGAGAAAAGAGTCGGAGGGTGGAATCTTGTTCTTGCCAGAAGGCTCCAAAAAAAGCAAATTGCTGCATTCTTTGCTCAGTTATCTGCTCTTCATCATCAATACCCATATTTACTTGAGTCTAATGTAACATTGAATCTAATGCTCAATTTTCAAAACCGTGAAACCAAAAAAAAAAAGTATTTGCTGCTGAATATTAGGCATGGGCAATCCATGGTTCTAAATTAGGCATGGGCAATCCGTGGTCCTTACAAAACTWGGGGGCACTGGTGCTTTGCTTCTAAAATATTGCTAAAGCTAGTGCTTTGCTTCTAAAGTGTTTCTAAAGTTCTGGTGGTGAAAATTTCAGAACTCTAACAAAACTTTCAAAATTTCRTTATAAATGGCAGTTCCTAATTGGTTCTGTCATAAAAATAGCCAATAACAAAATAATGAAATTTTGAAAGTTTTGTTAGAGTTCTGAAATTTCACCACCAGAACTTTCATAACACTTTAGAAGCAAAGCACTAGCTTTAGCAGTACTTTAGAAGCAAAGCAACAATGCCCTCTAGTTTTGTAAGTACTTTAGAACCATTTAGAACCATGGATTTCCCATGTCTACTGAATATAATGCATAGTGGCAAAAAGTGTACTCTTTGTAATTTGGCCAAAAAAGGTGCACATTAGGTTGATGTGAGTATTCTGGCCTGTATGACCATGTTCCAGAAGCATTCTTTCTTGACGTTTTTCAAACTCATCTCTGGCAGGCATCCTCAGAGGTTGTGAGGTTTGCACATTACTGTTACTGGCTGCTTAGAATTCCTTCGTTATAAACAATTGTGTTAGAACTTTCCAAAGCTTCCAGCAATGGAAAAGAAAACCTTGGGTGTATTTATGTTGTAGAATGAATCCACTTTAATTGGTTCGATGCTATGGAATCCTGGGAGCTGTGGTTTCACAAGGGTTTGAGCCTTCTCTGATAAAGAATGCTAGTGCTTCACCAAACTACAAATCCCAGGGTTGCATAGCATTGAGCCCTGGGCATTTAATTAGAGATGACGTCCCTCAAAGAGGAGCTCCAGGTGCAACTCCTGAAGAAGCTTCCCCTTTTGCTTTGGATTGGCACTTTGATTACTTTATGACGCAAAGTATTATATTTGAGCAAATATGTTAATATTTGGTATTTTGACCAATGTTGCTTGACCACACAACGCATCCTGGTTTGCATCTGTGAAATGTTGTGAGCTACCAGAGCCTACTACCGACTTGGAAAGAATTAACTCATGCTCCTCCCTCTACACCTGCCTTTCCAGGTACAGTACCTGGCCCGGTATTTCCTGGAGCTCTCTCTGATGGAGGTGGACTGTGTGCGTTTTGAGCCTGCTCAGCTGGCCCTGGCGGCCCTGCACTTGGCACAGCGCTTGCTTCTTCAGGAGGGGGGCACCAAGGAGATGCCCCAGGAAGGCACCTGCAAACTCCATACATACAGGTAAGCTTGATCAATCAGCTTCATGCATCTTATTTTACAGTTCACACACACACATACACACTGATTCCTTGCATGCTCCAACAAAATGGATAATTTCAAATGAAAGCAAAATGAGGGAAAAAGTGTGATGGGTGTAGAAAAATCATTCATTTAATTTCCAAATGGGGCGTTGTGAAGCTCCCAATGTTTTATTTATCACGTGGGATCAAGTCTAACAAGACAACAATGGAGGAATCCATGACTCTTTCAGCTTATTATTACAGTTCCCTACAAAATCAGTATCCCTTATTTTCCTGTCATCTCACCTACTTTGATCCTTTTGCAGTGAGTCTGAGCTGTCTGCTGTGTATCCCTATATGGCCAAGGCTGCTTTGCGAGGACCCAACTCTCCCCTCTGTGCCACTTTCCTGAAATACTCCCGGCCTCAAAAGCTCTGCATCAGTACCAGCTTTGACATCACCGCCTCTGAATCTCTAAATCGCTGCCTGGGGAGCCCCATCCCATGAAGGAGTATTGCTTTATTATGATGCTGGTGCTGGGGTTGCATTATTTCACACTATGTGGTGGAAGTCATTCCTGGCACCGATGAGTGGCATTAGACTAGAAACCCATCAGGATGGTCAAGTGTATAAAATTGTGTTGCTGAGCAGTGTTTCTGTGCATGTGTATGTCTTGTGCTCTCTATTTTCTACTATTCTTCTCTGTGCATGCACTATATGCCTTATTCTTCCTCTCTATCTTTGTGCTTTAACTCTCACTCAATGCATTTTAGCAAAATTTTGCTCCGACGGCAGGTTTCCCCTCCTTGCCTGATCCTGTCGAAATGACACAAGACCTTTAAAAAAGAAAAGAATTGATGACCTGTAAGAAAACAGGGCTCTTCAAATGTCTAATAAAGTATATTATTCTCACCTTTGTCTTTTCCCGATTCTTCTTGCTGAGTTTCTTTTAAATGTGCCAGAACTGGGTTGAGTTTAAGACGTCCTCAGGAGTCCATTTGGTGCCCATCGTTGATACACATGACTGCTAGGACATAAGCTCTGTGGGTAGTAAAGCAGATGGGACACAGCATAGAATCAGCCTAGACCATTTACTGATGGAGTATAACACACTGTTCCAGCCAGTGATAGAAACAGCCTCCTAAACAACTAATTCTGATTGACCTCAGCCAGTATTTATTTATCGTAGCAGGAGCGAACCAATGTATTTGAGGAAACACAAAGTTTGCAAACTTGGCATTCTAATATTAAATGTCCTTTGACCAGTAGCTGACCACTTGGAGTGCCTCTGGTGTTGCTGCAAGAAGGTCCTCCATTGTGCATGTGGCAGGGCCCAGGTTGCATTGCAGTAGGTGGTCTGTGGTTTGCTCTGCTCCACACTCGCATGTCGTGGGCTCCACTTTGTAGCCCCATTTCTTAAGGTTGGCTCTGCATCTCGTGGTTTTATTTATTTAAGTTGCCCAGTCTTCTGTGTGCCCAGGAGGGAGTCTCTCATTTGGTATCAGCCATGGATTGAGGTGATGGGTTTTTGCCTGCCACTTTTGGACTCTCGCTTGCTGAGGTGTTCCAGCGAGTATCTCTGTAGATCTTAGGAAGCTATTTTTTTATTTAAGGTATTGGCATGCTGACTGGTATCCAAACAGGGGATGGGCCAGGGATGTCACTGCCTTGGTCCTTTCATTATTGGGTGCTATTTCCCAGTGGATGTCAGGGGGTGCAATACTGGCTAGACAGTGTAATTTCTCCATTGGTATAGGGCGCAGACATCCTGCAATAATGCAGCATGTCTCATTAAGAGCCACATCCAGTATTTTAGAGTGATGAGATGTGTTCCACACTAGGCGTGCGTACTCAGCAGCAGAGTAGCAGAGCGCAAGGTCAGGGGTCTTCACTGCACATGAGACATGAGAGAAACCTCCCTACAGGATTACAACACATCTGGGGGTTCCTGGGTAACGTCTTTGTAGATGGCTGATTATCTCACTCCAGAAGTGACTAGTAGCATGCAACCTCACCCAGTGTGCCAATTACCACTGAGAGCCCCTCGACTGGCTTGTGCCAGTCTTTGCAGTTTGATCTTTAAATCCTTATGTCGTGTCCTTCCAGTTGTTTCTCTTCAATCCTGCTGTCGCCTGGGATTGCAACATTGACGATCCATGCTTGGTTCCCCCCCAAAATTGTGAGGCCAGGAGTATTGTTTTCAAAACTCTGTCAGTTTGAATTAAGAAGTCCCAGATTAGTTTGACATGTTAATTTTCTGTAACTTTTTCAGGCTTATGATCCCACCAGTTCTTTATAGCAGGCAGATGGTATTTGTGGCACAAGTTCCAATGAAACATCTGAGCAATGGTGTTATGCCTCTGCTTGTACTCCATCTGTGCAATCTTCTTGCAGCAGCTGAGGATGTGCTCTATTGTTTTGTCTGCTTCCTTGCAGAGCCTACACTTGGGACCTGCTGTTGACTTTTCAATTCTGGCTTTGATGGTATTGGTTCTAATGGCTTGTTCTTGGGCTGCCAGAATCAGGCCCTCCGTCTCCTTTTTCAAAATTCTATTTGTGAGCCACAGCCATGTTTTTTCTTTGCGCCAGCTGTGCCCATTCCTTGGGAAGTCTTACTTGGCCACGGTGGTCCACACTCTGGTTACATCCCAAATAGACTACTGCAACACTCTCTACGTGGGGCTGCCTTTGAAAACTTCTCGGAAGCTCCAATTAGTCCAGCGGTCGGCGGCCAGGTTGTTAACTGGAGCGGTGTATAGGGAGCATACCACTCCTCTGTTGCGCCAGCTCCACTGGCTGCCGATTAGCTTCCAGGGACAATTCAAAGTGCTGGTTTTAACCTTTAAAGATCTGAACGGTTCTGGCCCAGATTACCTGTCCAAACGTATCTCCTGCTATGAACCACCACAAAGCTTAAGATCATCAGGAGAGGCCCTGCTCTTGATCCCACCACTCTCGCAAACACGGTTGGTGGGGACGAGAGACAGGGCCTTCTCAACAGTGGCCCCCCCGTCTGTGGAACTCTCTCCCTAAGGACATCAGGTTGGCCACCTCCCTCCTGTCCTTTAGAAGACAACTGAAGACCTGGCTCTGGGGCCAGGCATTCAATTAGAGGCCAGCAGCAATAGGAAAAGGAAATTTGGATTTTGCGACATGGATTCTCCCGGCTCGGCTTGGTTTTACTGGCACGTTAATTTATTAATCCAATTTTGAAGGCCGGAGACACTGTTGTTGTTGTTCATTCGTTCAGTCGTCTCCGACTCTTCGTGACCTCATGGACCAGCCCACGCCAGAGCTCCCTGTCGGCCATCACCACCCCCAGCTCCTTCAAGGTCAGTCCAGTCACTTCAAGGATGCCATCCATCCATCTTGCCCTTGGTCGGCCCCTCTTCCTTTTTCCTTCTACTTTCCCCAGCATAATTGTCTTATCTAGGCTTTGCTGTCTCCTCATGATGTGGCCAAAGTACTTCAACTTTGTCTCTAGTATCCTTCTCTCCAATGAGCAGTCGGGCTTTATTTCCTGGAGGATGGACTGGTTGGATCTTCTCGCAGTCCAAGGCACTCTCAGAACTTTCCTCCAGCACCACAGTTCAAAAGCATCTATCTTCCTTCGCTCAGCCTTCCCTAAGGTCCAGCTCTCACATCCGTAGGTTACTACAGGGAATACCATGGCTTTGACTAGGTGGATCTTTGTTGCCAGTCTGATGTCTCTACTCTTTACTATTTTATCGAGACTGGACATTGCTCTCCTCCCAAGAAGTAAGCGTCTTCTGATTTCCTGGCCACAGTCTGCATCTGCAGTAATCTTTGCACCTAGAAATACAAAGTCTGTCACGGCCTCCACATTTTCTCCCTCTATTTCCCAGTTGTCAATCATTCTTGTTGCCATAATCTTGGGTTTTTTTTTTATGTTTAGCTGCAACCCAGCTTTTGCGCTTTCTTCTTTCACCTTGATTAGAAGGCTCCTCAGCTCCTCCTCGCTTTCGGCCATCAGAGTGGTGTCATCTGCATATCTGAGGTTGTTAATGTTTCTTCCAGCAATTTTCACCCCAGCTTTGCATTCAGCAAGCCCCGCACATCGCATGATGTGTTCTGCATACAAGTTAAAAAGGTTGGGTGAGAGGATGCAGCCTTGCCGTACGCCTTTCCCAATCTTGAACCAGTCTGTTGTTCTGTGGTCAGTTCTGACTGTTGCTACTTGGTCCTTGTACAGATTCCTCAGGAGAGAGACAAGGTGGCTTGGTATGCCCATCCCGCCAAGAACTTGCACAGTTTATTATGATTTATTATGATTTATTATGCTGATGATGTTGATGTTATTCCTGCCTGAGAGATTGTGGGTTAGACTGTGATGGGGGGCTGTGCAATCCCTCCCAATGCGATCCCCCTCCCATCCCAGCTGGGACCTCCAAAGCCAGAGCTGGCGCTGATGCAAGAGGAGGCGGAGAGTGGAGATATTCCCATCATGCACCGCGAGAGCGCTGTCCGCGGTGCTGAAGAGCATCCCTCGGCGGCGGCGGCGGCGGCGGCTGGCGATCCCCCTCCCATCCCAGCTGGGACCTCCAAAGCCAGAGCTGGCGCTGATGCAAGAGGAGGCGGAGAGTGGAGATATTCCCATCATGCACCGCGAGAGCGCTGTCCGCGGTGCTGAAGAGCATCCCTCGGCGGCGGCGGCGGCGGCGGCGGCTGGGGCTGCTGCTTTGGCGGGTGCTGCTGGTGCTGCTGCTCCTTTGGGACCCCCGAGCCGGACTCCTCCTTTATGCCCAGCAGCGCCTTCCCCTTCTTCTTCTCCTCCTTCTCTTTCCTCTTCCTCCTCCAAGCCTCGCCTGGGGATGGGGCCGTGAAGCAGCAGAATCCCGCGAGGAGGAAGAGGGCCATGACCATGATGATGAGGATGGAGGACAAGAAGAAGACCAGCCCCTTCCACCGGAGCTGCCCGGAGGCCGGAGGAGGGGGAGGCGGAGGAGGCGGAGGAGGAAGGAGAAGGCAGATGAGGAGGGGAGGCCGGAGGAGGGGGAGGCGGAGGAGGCGGAGGAGGAGGAGGCGCCGCGGCCTCTTCTTCCCAGCTGGAGGCCAAGATCCAGGCGGCGGTGGAGTTCAAGGCGGAGGGCGCCCGCTGCTACAAGCAGAAGAAGTTCCGCGAGGCCATCGGGAAGTACCACCGCGCCCTCATGCAGCTCAAGGGCCTCCCGGGCGAAGGAGAGAAAGAGGGGCCGGCGGCGGGGGTGGCCGAGAAGAAGAAGGCCCTCCTGGGAGAGGAGCCCGCCCTGCCTTGGAGGAGGCTCTCCGAGGAGCAGCGGGCCCTGGTCGAGAGCACCGAGATCGAGTGCTACAACAGCCTCACAGGTGGGACTCTCTCAAGCAAGGGCAAACTTGGGCCCTCCAGGTGTTTTGGACTCCAACTCCCACAATTCCTAACAGCCGGTAGGCTGTTAGGAATTGTGGGAGTTGAAGTCCAAAACCCCTGGAGGGCCCCAAGTTTGCCCATGCTTGCTGTTCAAGATAGATTTCCATGCTACACAATCGTGGGAATTGTAGTTTTGCAAGGGCTTTCGCCTTCTCTGCCCAAGGGTGCCAATGCCTCCCTAAACTACAATTCCCATGATTCCACAGCATTGAGCCAAGGGTGTTGAATGTATCTAACAGATGCACCTTTGGCCAGATTGTTCCAGGGTGGCTCATCTCCTCCAAAAATCTACTCATAGTAAGGTTTGGGGGCACTAGACAGCCCAGCAGGCTCCTATACCTTCTTTACTTCCTTCCTTCCATACTCCCTTCCTTTCTCCCTTCCTTCCTTCTTGCCTTCCTGCCTACCTACCCTTCTCCCTTCCTTCCTTTATCTTTTCTTTCCTTCCATCTTTTCTCCCATCCATCCTTCTTTCCTTCCTTCCTTCCTTTCTCCCTTCCTTCCTTTATCTCTTCATTTCTCCCTTTCATCCTCCCTTCTTTCCTCCCCCCCTTTTCTCCCTTCCATCCATTCATCCTTCCTCTCTTTCATCCATCCATCCATCCATCTATCCATTCATCCATCCTTCCTTTCTCCCTTCCTCCTACTTCCTTCTTGCCTTCCTGCCTTCCTTCTCTTCTTCCATCTGGGTGTGAACCGGGGATGCAGACCTTTGTGCTCCTCCTTCCTCTCCTTTCCTTCCTTCCTTCCTTCCTTCCTTCCTTCCTTCCTTCCTTCCTTCCTTCCTTCCTTCCTTTATCTCTTCCTTCCTCCCTTTCATCCATCCATCCATTCTTCCTTCTTTCCTCCCTCTCTCTCTTCCATCCATCTTCCCTTTCACCCATCCATCCAACCTTCCTTCCTTTCTCCCTTTCTCCTTTCCTTTCCTTCCTTTCTTTCTTTCTTTCTTTCTTTCTTTCTCTTTCTTTCTTTCTTTCTTCCTCCCTCCCTCCCTTCCATCCATCCATCCATCCATCCATCCATCCTTCGTTCCTTCCTCCCTCCCTCCCTTCCTCCTTCCCTTCCTTCCTTACACCTTTTCATCTTTCCTTCCTTCCTTCCATCCATCCATTAATCCTTCCTTTCCCCTTCCTTCCTTTATCTCTTCCTTCCTCCCTTTCATCCATCCTCCCTCCCTCCCTCCCTTCTTTCCATCCATCTCATTTCAGTCCTTTCCTTTCCCCCTTCTTCTCCTTCCTTTCTTTCTCCTCCCCTCCCTCCCTCCCTCCCTCCTCCTCCCTTCTTCCTTCCTTCTTTCCCTCCCTCCCTCCTCCCTTTCTTTCCTTCCTTCTCCTCTATCCTTCCATCCTTTCTTCCTTCCTTCCTTCTTCCTTCCTTCCTTCCTTCCTTCCTTCCTTCCTTCCTTTTTCGCTTCCTTCCGTCCTCTGCAGATCTGGATTTGCAACCTTAAGTGAACCTCCCCAACTTCTGTTTGTTTTGCCCCTGCAAAATGGCACAGCATGAGAGGAAGGATGGGAAAAGGGCTACCTTGATGGAGATCTCATGGATTTTGGAAGACTCAGATCAGGGATCTTTGGAGGGAAAAACAACAATCTGATAATCTGAGATTATCAGCAATAAATTTTGGGGATGGATGGGAACATGGAATTTATATGGACTCGTATTCACTAGTACAATTACAGGTCCACAATAGTAAGACTGTGTAGTCTTACTATTAACCTATACAAACATCACCCCATCCCACCTTTTGAACCAGATACCAGATTAGGAAAGGAATCCGTTCAGTTTTTGATTATGGCATAGGCAGGATTGTGTTTACATCCCTTTCCATAAATAAATGAGGCATCAGTGATGAGAACCAGGACCTCTGTCACTGCTTCTTCTCATAACATCAAGTGTTGATGGAAATGGGTCAAGATTGAGGAACTTGCAACTGAATTGTAAATTCAATGGATCTCTTTCTACAGATCCAGCAGTCAATTCTAAAGGTAGTCTGGACCAGAGGTGTTACTTATTAGCACAGACATAACTATCTAGTCCAGTGTTTCTCAACCTTCCTAATGCTGTGACCCCTTAATACAGTTCCTCATGTGGTGGTGACCTCCAACCATAACATTATTTTCATTGCTACTTCATAACTGTGATTTTGCTACTGTTATGAATTGTAATGTAAATATCTGATATGCAGGATGTATTTTCATTCACAAGACCAAATTTTGCACAAATATCCGATACACCCAAATTTGAATACTGGTGGGGTTGAGGAGGGGGGTTGATTTTGTCACTTGGGAGTTGTGGGTACTGGGATTTATAGTTCACCTACAATCAAAGAGCATTTTGAACTCCACCAACAATGAAATTGAACCAAATTTGGCACACAGAACTCCCATGACCAAGAGAAAATACTGGAAGGGTTTGGTGGGCATTGACCTTGAGTTTTGGAGTTGTAGTTCATCTACATCTATAGAGCACTGTGGATTCAAACAATGATAGATCTGGACCAAACTTGGCACGAATACTCAATATACCCAAATTTGAACCCTGCTGGAGTTTGGGGAAAATAAACGTTGACATTTGGGAGTTGTAGTTGCTGGGATTTATAGTTCACCTACAATCAAAGAGCATTCTGAACTCTAGCAACGATGGAATTGAATCAAACTTGGCACAAAGAATTCCCATGATCAACATGGAAGGGTTTGGTGGGCATTGTCCTTGAGCTTTGGAGTTGTAGTTCACCTCCATCCAGACAGCACTGTAGATTCAAACAATTATGGATCTGGACCAAGCTTGACACAGTTATTCAACATGCCCAGATGTGAACACTGGTGGAGTTTGGGAAGAATAGCCCTTGACATTTGGGAGTTGTAGTTTCTGGGATTTATAGTTTACCTACGATCAAAGAGCACTCTGAACCCAGCCCTTGATGGATCTGCACTAAACTTGGTTCACTACCTACATGGCCAACTTTGAATACTGGTGAGGTTGGTGTGGGGGCTGTTTTTACATTCTGGGAGTTGTAGTTCACCAAAACCAAAAAGGAAGAGAAGGACAGGTGGAGAGATCTTCAGCCTTCTCTGCCAAAAGGGTTTCTAAGACCATCAAAAATATGTGTTTTCTGATGGTCTTTGGTGCCCTCAAGGGGGTTGCACACACACACACCCCAAGGGTCCCGACGCCCAGCTTGAGAAACACTGAATTTCAGCAATTTGTAAGGAGTCTAGTAAATGGGACACACGTGGAAGGATTGCTCCAGAGCCACCCAAGGAGAACCTTACCTACTTTGGGGTTCAAGAGTGGAGATGGTGCATTTTAAATACATCAGTATATTTAGTGACCAAGTGCGAGTCCAGATCTCAGCATTACAGATGATCAATCTGACCCCAAAGCAAAGGCATACATGTTATAGCACTGATAGCAGTTTGGGAAAATCTGCCTAACAACAGCATACAGTGGGAGGATACTAGCCATACACCAGCCAATCCTGGAACACAAGTCATTGAGCTACAATGGGAAAATGATCCGGCCGGACCCACATTACTATTTTACATGTTGAAAATTCTCCTTACATTGACAATTGTTATTGTAATGGGCTGCAAGTGCCACTTAGCTAATGATAACGCCAACATGTCTATTCTGGTTTTCCTTGAGATTCCTGTGACCTAAATAACTTGGCAGCTTTTTAGTTTTTCCCCTTTGATTCAGAATACTTCCTTTTAGCATGGCTTGACCTTGTTTTAGCCCAAATATGGGCAAACTTCATCCCTCTAGGTGTTTTGGACTTCAACTCCCACAATTCCTCACCGTCTCAGGCCCCTTTCTTTTCCAACTCAGCCGCTTAAGCCACTAAAAAAGCCAATGGGACTTTGGCCTTCATAGTGTCTAGATCCAGAGAAACCATGCCACCCATGCTCTACTCTGCCTTGGTTAGACCACACCTGGAATATTGTGTCCAATTCTGGGCACCACAATTGAAGAGAGATATTGACAAGCTGGAAAGTGTCCAGAGGAGGGTGACTAAAATGATCAAGGGTCTGGAGAACAAGCCCTATGAGGAGCAGCTTAATGAGCTGGGCATGTTTAGCCTGAAGAAGAGAAGGATGAGAAGAGACATGATGATAGCCATGTATAAATATCTGAGGGGAAGTCATAGGGAGGAGAGGGAGCAAGCTTGTTTTCTGCTCCCTTGGAGACTAAGATGCATTGGAGCAATGGCTTCAAACTACAGGAAACGTGATTCCACCTGAACACTAGGAAGAACTTCCTGTGAGAGCTGTTTAACTCTCTGCCCCGGAGTGTGGTGGAGGCTCCTTCTTTGGAAGCTTTTCAACAGAGGCTGGATGGCCATCTGTCAGGGGTGCTTTGAATGCGATTTTCCTGCTTCCTGGCAGGGGGTTGGACTGGATGGCCCATGAGGTCTCTTCCAACTCTATGATTCTATTATTCTTCCTTGACCACATCCTCTTCCCACAATGCTCCCAAATACCTTGATCTTCCTTAGGGACCTTCCCCAAACAATGCCCATAATGGCATTCTTTTGCTATCTTTGCTTGAGTGAGTAGAAACCTTTTTGCTCTGGCAAGCTTTTGAGAATTGATTTTTTGAAAGACTAACAGTCCTGTATAATGAGCTGGATTGGTTGTTATTGTTGTTTTTAATGGTGCATGAGTTTAACTGGCTTTCATTTGGGATAGTTTAATTGCTTTTAAACTCTTGTATTATTATTATTATTATTATTATTATTACTTTTTGAAACACAACAAGATGAGTCCGCAGCAGACACTCTGCTGGCTGTTGTATTGGATCACACGTCGGACACTTCCCAAGTGTCTAGGATGTGTGATGTATCGGCGAATAATGCGTGCAGATCCCAGTAAGGTGGCCTTTTGCAGCTGGCAGATGGTAATCTTGTCAGCACCAATTGTGTTTAAGTGCAGGCCAAGGTCTTTAGGCACTGCACCCAGTGTGCCAATCACCACTGGCACCACCTTGACTGGCTTGTGCCAGAGTCTTTGCAGTTCAATCTTTAAATCCTCATATCGTTTCCAGTTGTTTCTCTTTTATCCTGCTGTCACCTATTATTATTATTATTATTATTATTATTATTATTATTATTATTATATGTACTTATTTGCTTGTTTTTTGTCTCTGAACAGAGACACAAAGGAACTGTATGCTGTTGATTTTTTTTAACTATGTTTATTTGAACTATTTTAAGCTGCTTTGGGTCCCAAATTGGAGAGAAAGAAAGACCACAGCAACAGCAGCAGGAATAATAACAGCAATGGCATCAGGGCTGCATTCTGGAGACATTTGTACAGCACCATTGCAAATCTTAATGTAGTGGCTGAGTGGGCAGTGCATAGGAATTGGATTGGGAGTGCAGAAGGGGATTGGAATTGGGTTGAAAGTGGAAATGGAGTTGGAAGTACAGTTTAGGCAACCTAGGAAAGCAGTACTGGTTATGAAACATTTTTAAAATGTTGTGAGCCACTTTAAAATGTTGTGAGGCGCTTTGGGTCCTGTTTAGGAAGAAAAGTGGGATATAAATAAAGATGTATTATAATTGTTATAAAAGGTACGAGGGTTGAATGAAAAGTAATGCCTCCACCTTCATAACTCCTCAACAGATGGCAGTACTGGTATGCGGCAGGTACTGGCTTGTTCAGTAGACTCTCCTCTACAGTTCCATTTTGGCGGGAAGCCAAAATTGCTTTTGAATGGTTGTGTTGTTATAGTGTGAAGTATGGAACCCTGCGCAGATGGTCAGTCAATGTCACTTAAGCAATGTCCAGTCAGTGATTCTTGACAGCAGAAGGTGTCAACCCCAAAGGAGATTAATCAGAGAATGCAAGTTGTTTATGGTGATTGTGTGATGTGAGTACTGTGCATCGTTGGGTGAGTAAGTTTAAAGATGTTGAGGTGACACCTTCTGCTGTCAAGAATTCAATGACTACACTTTGCTTAAGTTGCATTGACTGACTGTCTGCGCAGGGTTCCATACTTCGCACTTTAACAACACAACCGTTCAATGATAAGGTTTCCTGCCAAAATGAAACTGTAGAGGAGATTCTACTGAACAAGCCAGTACCTGCCACATATCAGTACTTCCATCTGTTGAGGAGTTACAAAGTTGGAGGCATTACTTTTCATTCAACCCTCATATGCAGGAGCCTTCTGTTCATCTTCTTTCCCTTCTGCTTGGGTCTCCCTTAGCTTGCCTGCTGCAGTCAGAGCTGGTGAACTATGAGCGTGTGCGGGACTATTGCCTCAAAGTCCTCGCCAAGGAGAAGAGTAACTTCAAAGCCATGTACCGGGCCGGCATTGCCTTCTACCATCTTGGGGATTACGACAACGCCTTGCTCTATTTGAAAGAGGCCAAGAACCGCGAACCTACAGGTTGGAGCACTGGACAGGCATCCAAGGGAGGGAAGCACAGAGAGAGGGACTTGAGCATTGATTGATTGATTGATTGATTGGTTGATTAATTGATCGACCGATTTACAGTATTTATATTCCGCCCTTCCCACCCCAAAGGGGACTCAGGGCAGATCACAGAACACATATACAGCAAACATTTAATGCTATTATACACTGACAAGACAGATAACTCTCTCTCTCTCTGTGTGTGTGTGTGTGTGTGTAGGCATTCCCATCTTCAGCATCTTGGAGGCTTGTGCTAGGTTCCGATCATGGGATGTGTGTGTGTGTGTGTGCTGTCGCTCCATCTTCCCTGCCGAAGAGCTTTGTTTGTAAACTTCCTCCTTGATGGAATCACTGACATTTTTCTGGCATTTCCTTATTTATTTATTTATAGTATTTATATTCTGTGCTTCCCACCATGCAGGGGACTCAGGGCAGATTACAATGCACATATACATGGCAAATATTCAATGCCATTAGACATACAACATCTATAAACAGACACAGAGGCCATTTAACATTCCAGCTTTTCCGGCTTCATGAGGGTATGCTCGATTCCGGCCACAGGGGGAGCTGCTGCTTCACTGTCCACTTGTGACACCGAGTTCTTTGAAGGAGTACTTCCTCATTCTTATGCATGCTGCTGGAAGATTTTATGGCATTGTAAATTAGTTAAATTAGCCTCTCGGCATAAAGCAGTACCTAACTGTCTTTTGGGCAGCATAGGTCAACAGCAAGCTATACTATTAATGGTCAGGAGCTCACTCCGACCCAGGTTGGTTTCGAGCTCATGACCTCTTGGTCAGTAGTGATTTAATGCAGCTAGCTACTAACTAGCTGCACTACAGCCCCTTCCCAGTGGGTGCCTTAGATACCTTCCTCCTTTAAAGCAGTACCTATTTATCTACTCACATTTGCTTTTGAACTGCTAGGTAGGCAGAAGCTGGGCTAAAGGCCAGGAGCTCACCCTGACCTGGGCTTCGAACTGCAAATCTTCCGATTGGCAAGATTTACTGCAGGTTGAGTCTTGATGCTGGATCCATAAGTGGTTGTAGAGACCTCTTCTGGATCTGCACCATCTTTCCTATTTATCTACTCACATTTGTTTTTGAATTGCTAGGTAGGCAGAAGCTGGGCTAAAGGCCAGGAGCTCACCCTGACCCAGGCTTCGAACTGCCAACCTTCCGATTGGCAAGATTTACTGCAGGTTGAGTCTTGATGCTGGATCCATAAGTGGTTGTAGAGACCTCTTCTGGATCTGCATAATCTTTCCTATTTATCTACTCACATTTGCTTTTTAACTGCTAGGTAGGCAGAAGCTGGGCTAAAGGCCAGGAGCTCACCCTGACCTGGGCTTCAAACTGCCAACCTTCCGATTGGCAAGATTTACTGCAGGTGGCGGTTAGCCTGCTGTGCTAAAGCCCGGGCCATCCCTTATCCAGAAGTCTGAAATATTCCAAAATCCACAATTATCTACACCATGGCCTTTGATGAACTGGTCTCTTCCAACTCCATGATTCCATAATTCTCTGTTTCTTTTCCTTCCCTTTCACAGACACCAATGTCCTGCGCTACATCCAGCTAACCGAGATCAAGATCAGCCGCTGCAACCAGCGGGACAAGGAGGTGATTGTGTAGCAGCGTTGGACCTGCCTTGCCAGAGCTCTTCCCCCGCCCTGCCCAACCCACACGTCAGTGACAGACATAGCCTTCTACACATGGTGCCAATTGTGCCCGGAATCCACCCGCTGCCCTCCATGCTCCAGGAAGATGCCATCAGGTGCCCGCCATGCCCTGGCAGATGCCACAGCCAGAGAACTTCCAGCGGAGAGCAGCGCTGCCCTCCAAAGCCAGTATGGCTCTTGGTCCTTTCGGCTGTGGGACGAGATAATGTAGCATTTCGCCAGAACACTGTTGGGGTTGCTTATTTTTTTTTAATGAAAAAAAAAAGATGAGAGTATTTGCCAGGTGTGTGCCTCTGTGAGATTGGCCGAGCAGAATAGGGTGGTGCAAAATAAGGTGGGCATGATTGGGACCGCATGGAAGGCACATCAGAGTGGCATCAGGGAGAGAGACTATGAAAAGCCAGATTCTTGAGCTCTTCCCAAACAGTGGAGAGTTATATACTACTCTAGACAATCTCTCATAGCCGAGTATGATTGCCTTCCAAGGGTTGAGTCTTGGTGTTGGGTCCATAAGTGACTGTAGAGACCTCTTCTGGAGCCACATGGTGTTTCACATTGAGGATATAGGTTTCCAGGTGGAAGGTGGTCATGACAAGGGTTTGCCTCTCGGCATGTTTCTCACTCTCATCCTGTATTTGTGCCTCTTCAAAATCCATAAAATCCAAAAAGCTGACCTACAGTTAGAACACTTTAGGAGGGTTGCAAGGGGGTTTCAGACAGGTCACCAAGAGACCATCGGAAACACATATTTCTGATGGTTTTAGGAACCCTTTGGCAGAGAAGGCTGATGATCTCTCTGCCTGTCCTTCTCTTCCTTTTTGGTGTTGGTGAACTACAACTCCCAGAATTTAAAAACAGCTCCTCAAACCCCACTAGTGTTCAATGTGGCCATGTCAGTAGTGTGCCAAGTTCGGTGCAGATCCATTATGGGTTCAGAATGCTCTTTGACTGTAGGTGAACTATAAATCCCAGCAACTACAACTCCCAAATGTCAAAGTCTATTTCCCCAACTTCCACGAGGGTCCACATCTGGGCATGTTGAGTAATTGTGTCAAGCTTGGTCCAGATCCACCATTGTCTGAGTCCACAGCACTCTCTGGATGTAGGTGAACTACAACTCCAGAACTCAAGACCAATGCCCACCAAACCCTTCCAGTATTTTCTGTTGGTCATGAGAGTTCTGTGTACCAACTTTGGTTCAATTCCATGGTTGGTGGAGTTCAGAATGCTCTTTGATTGTAGGTGAACTATAAATCCCAGCAACTGCAACTCCCAAATGTCAAAGTCTATTTCCCCAACCTCCACCAGGGTCCACATCTGGGCATGTTGAGTATTTCTGCCAAGGGTCCAGATCCATCATTGTTTGAGTCTGCCGTCTCTGGATGTAGGGTGAACTACAACTCCAAAAACTCAAGGTCAATGCCCACCAAACCCTTCCAGTATTTTCTCTTGGTCATGAGAGTTCTGTGTACCAACTTTGGTTCAATTCTATCGTTGGTGGAGTTCAGAATGCTCTTTGATTGTAGGTGAACTATAAATCCCAGCAACTACAACTCCCAAAAGACGAAATCAATCGCCCTCTCAACCCCACCAGTATTCAAATTTGGACGTATCGGGTATTTGTGCTGAATTTGGTCCAGTGAATGAAAATACATCCTGCATATAAGATAGTTACATTATGCTTCATAATAGTAACAAAATTATGAAGTAGCAACGGAAATAATGTTATGGTTGGGGGTCACCACAACATGAGGAACTGTATTAAGGGGTCGTGGCATTAAGAAGGATGAGAAACAATGGTCTAGGACATATTGGCTATTCTTTACTTCAAACCCATCCTGGTGGTCAGTTGCTTCTCCCATGAATTCTCTGCCATTTTATCCATAGCTTTTACTACTTTCTTTAATGAATATTGGTGGCTGAAGAGAAACAGCACGAGAGGAACTAAATCTGGAAAATTTTGTTGACACCACAAGAGGCCACCCTCCTCTTTCCACCAAACGTGGCTCTTTGAAACCCCAAAGCATTGAGTACAGGTTTGAATTCTGTAGATACCATTGCTCAAGGGTGGTATCCGATTCAGGGTTGCATAGAATGCAAACCCTTCCACAAGCAGTTGTGCTATCTTGGGTTTTCCTGAAAAGCACAACTGTGCTATCTTTTGGGTGAGGTTTTATGGTGTGTATCTGCACAACACAACATGCTGTGAAACCCAAAGGGGATGTGCATGACCGAAGAGTTTGGCTCCAAGTGTAAAGATTGCAGCAAGCAACTGCAGAGCTGACCGCGGCTTGCCTTCCTGGAGATGCTGCTGCCTGATCTACTTCAGGTAATATGATGTTGTTGCCATGGCGACTGGGATGCAGCAGGGAAGATCAGAGATGTGGCATTTACTCCATCCCTACGCTGGAATTGGCAGCGCAGGAAACGGGGAGGGGGAGATGGAGGTTTGGGAAGGCAGAAGGGGAAGAAACCCTTTAGCTGGCTCTGTTGCCTACTGCTTTTCAGAATTTGGCTTGGATTCAATATCTCAAGGCTATTCCTCCATCAGATAAAGCTTGCAATGGATTCTCCCTTTGTAAATAAGCTGCCAAATGGAAGTAAGGCAGGAGGAGGAAATATACAATTGCCCCAGTGTTTTTTCTCTCAAGGTAACCCTTATGGAAATGGTAGCAATGTTGTCCAACGGCAACGATATCCCTATCCCGTTTTAATCCTATTCCACAGCTATATTTCCAAAATATTCAGACTACACCAAGCATCCATTCACACTATACCATTACAGCACTGTGACTCCACTTTCAATGCTATTCTATGGAATCCTGGGATTTGCAGATGAACATGGCACAGGGTAGAAAGGGAAGTTGCAGCGAAGGATGGGGATTGGAAGAACATAATCTCATTGGGTTCCTGTAAGTTTTCCAAGCTGTATGGCTATGTTCCAAAAGCATTCTCTCCTGACGTTTCACCCACATCTATGGCAGGCATCCTCAGAGGTTGTGAGGTCTGTTGGAAACTAGGCAAGTGGGGTTTATGTCTGTGGGATGTCCAGGGTGGGAGAAAGAACTCTTCTCAGCTTGAGAATGTTGCAATTGGCCACCTTGATTAGCATTGAATGGCCTTGCAGCTTCAAAGCCTGGCTGATTGCTGCCTGGGGTAATCCTTTGTTTGGAGGTGTTTGCTGGCCCTGGTTGATTCTTGTGTGGAATTCCGCTGCTTCTTGAGTGTAGTTCTTTATTTACTGTCCCGGTATTGAAGTTTTTTTAAATACTTGTAGTCAGATTTTGTTCATTTTCATGGTTTCCTCCTTTCTGTTGAAATTATCCACATTTTTGTGGGTTTCATCAGTTTTTCTGTGTATGAAATGGTGATTTTTAGAGCGTCAGACTACAAAGAAAAGCCACTGAAATCCACACACATGTAGACAATTTTAACAGAAAGGAGGAAACCATAAAAATGAACAAAATTTGGTTGCTAGTATTTAAAAAACTTTAAAATCAGGACAGTAAATAAAGAGCAACACTCAAAAAACAGGGAAATTCCAAACAATCAATCAGGGCCAGGGAACACCTCCCAACAAAGGATTCTCCCAGACAGGAAGCAGCCAAGCTTTGGAGCTGCAGGGTTATTGGATGCTAATCAAGGTGGCCAATTGTAACACTCACACTTGCCTCAAGCAGAGTTCTTTCTCCCACCCTGGACACTCCACAGATATATAAACCTCACATGCCTAGTTTCCAACAGATCTCACAACCTCTGAGGATCCCTGCCATAGATGTGGGTGAAATGTCAGGAGAGAATGCTTCTGGAACATGGACATAGAACCTGGAATACTCACAGCAACCCAGTGATTCCTGCCATGAAAGCTTTTGACAACACATTGAACATAAACTCATTTGATGATGACATTGCTGAGAAGAAAAATTAATGCATCCAAGAGCAAATCACTTCTGAACTCTCATCATAAGGCTATAGTACTTGGAGCATACTATAGGACAACATAATAAAATGGAGACTATGATAAGGTGATAAGAGAGATTAAGAGTGCATAGCAGGAGGGTTCTTTCATGTTCCCGCATGGGAAGCTGGAGCTGACAGAACGGAGCTCACCCCACTTCCCAGATTTGTACTGCTGAACTTTTGGTCAGCAGTATGCAAGGACATTGCCCAGGGGATGCCCGGATGTTTTACATCCTGTGAGATTCTTCTCTCATGTCCCCATATGGGAAGCTGGAGCTCACCCTGCTCCCCAGATTTGTACCGCCAACCTTTTGGTCAGCAGTTCTTCAAGGACATTGCCCAGGGGTCACCCGGATGTTTTACCATCCTGTAGGAGGTTTCTCTCATATCCCCGCATGGATAGCTGGAGCTGACAGACGGGAGCTCACCCCGCTCTCCGGATTCAAACTGCTGACCTTTTGAACAGCAGTCCGCAAGGACATTATCCAAAGGATGTCCAGATATTTTACCATCCTGTGGGAGGTTTCTCTCATATCCCCATATGGGAAGCTGGAGCTGACAGACAGGAGCTCACCCTGCTCCCCGAATTTGAACCACCGACTTTTCGGTCAGTAGTCCTGCTGGCACAAGAATTGGTGTGCTTAATGTCAAAAGCAACTTGACAATTGACAACAACACGGCATTTTTCCTTTTCTTTTTTTATATAAAAAAAGGGGGAGGGACAGAATCAGAATCACAAATGCTTGGATCAGACATGACCTATGAAGACTTATCAGCAGCATTGTTCACAGCCAGAGCACACAAGGCTGGCCCAAACTGGCCAAAGGACTGAGCCGTCTCATTGTGTGGAAAAGGACTCTTGCTTGGGAGGGCCATAGTCAATAAATAAAAGCCTGCAGGCAGCACAGTCTCCAAATCCAGCTATGTTTCATCCTGGGATCGACAGAGACTGTTTTCCAGGTTGGATCTGGGAGGGAATTCTTTCCCTTTTCCTTGGAATGGTTCTGGATACTCTGAACAGGAAAGCGTTGCTGTTTTTTCTTCTTTAAACCCTGAGAACTTGAGCAAGGCAGCACAACCAAAGATGCGTCTAGACCAGGCATGGGCAAACTTTGGCCCTCCAGGTGTTTTGGACTCCAACTCCCACCATTCCTAACAGCCTCAGGCCCCTTCCTTTTCCCCCTCAGCCGCTTAAGCGGCTGAGGGGGAAAAGGAAAGGGCCTGAGGCTGTTAGGAATGGTGGGAGTTGGAGTCCAAAAGACTTGGAAGGCCAAAGTTTGCCCATGCCTGGTCTACACCAAACAATGATTGCAAATGACACCAATTTAATTGCCATGGCACAATGTTGTAGGATCATGGGAGCTATAGTTTTACAAGGTCTTTAGCTTTCTTTGCTGAGTTTGGTGAGGCTTTCTGGTCCGTCACCAAACTCAACTCCTATTATTCCAGGACACTGAACCACGGCAGTTAAAACAATGTCGATCTGCATTAGCGGAACAGTGTTGATGCACCCAAAGAACTATTTCTCCATCCGTTTCCCCTCTTACATTGGAATGGGATGGCGACAGAGGAAAGCTGGAGTTTGGAAGGAGTAGAAGATATCTTCTTCATCCCGTCTGATGTCGCTTTAAGGTACAGTAGAGTCTCGCTTATCCGACCTTCGCTTATCCAACCTTCTGCTTATCCGACTTTCGCTTATCCAATGCCTCCTTTTCCCTCCAGCATTTCCCCTTCAATTAAAGGAGCACTCCCCAACTCTCCCTCCATTCCTAATAAGTGAAAAAGGCAAGACAAGGAGGAGAAGGAGGAGGGAGGAAAGGGGGAAAAGAGGGCTGGACCAGAAGCGGAAGCGTCCTCCCTCCTTCCCTCTGTGATTTCCACGCTCCTCTTCCGCATCCGGGCACTTCCTACTGGACCGTTCTAGCCCCGAAGCATTGCCTTGCTTTAACTCTTCAAGATTCTAAGTGTCTAGCGCCATGTCATACGGATAACAGTAGGAAACTCCGTTATTATCCGACATTTTTGTTTAGCCAACATTCTGCCGGCCCGTTTATGTCAGATAAGCGAGACTCCACTGTATCTCATTCTGTTCCCATGATCTTCCCAAGGTTAAAGTTAGAGAAGTGCTGTCCACATACAACCCAAAGAGAGACACTTTACCCTCATCACACTAGAACAGGTATGGGCAAACCCAAGCCAGAGGCCAGATGCGGCCCCTTGGGATCTTTTCTCAGGCCCTCCTCTCTTGTATCACCCTATCCTTCCTTCTTTCTCTCTTTCCTTCCTCTTTCCCTCCCTCCCTTTCTTCCTTACCTCACTCTTTCTCCCTCTCCTTCCTTCCTTCCCACTCTTTCATCCTTCCTTCCCTCTTTCCTCCCTCCTTCCCCCCTCTCGTTCTCCTTCCCTCCCTCCTTCCTTCCTTCCCTTTTGTCTTTCCTTCCTTCCCTCTTTCCTCCCTCCCTTCCCTTCCACCCTTCGTTCCTTCCTTTTATTCCATCCATCCATCCATTTTTCTCTTTCCTCCCTCTTTCCCTCCCTCCTGCCTTTCTTTCTTTCTTTCTTTCTTTTTCTTTCTTTCTTTCTTTCTTTCTTTCTTTCTTTCTTTCTTTTTTCCATCCATCCATCCATCCATCCATCCATCCATTCTTCTCTTTCCTTCCTCTTTCCCTCCCTCCCTCCTTCCTTCCTTCCTTCCTTCCTTCCTTCCTTCCTTCCTTCCTTCCTTCCTTCCTTCCTTCCTTCCTTTCTTCTCTTTCCTTCCACTTTCCCTCCCTCCTTCCTTCCCTTCTACCCTTTCATCCTTCCTTCCTTTCCTCCCTCCTTCCCTCTCTCCTTTCTCCTTCCTTCCTTCCCTTTTGTCTTTCCTTCCTTCTCTCTTTCCTCCCTCCCTCCCTTCCATCCATCCATCCATCCATCCATTCTTCTCTTCCTCCCTCCCTCCTTCTTTTTCCTTCCTCCTTTCCTCCTGGTGGGTGTTTAGCTGAGAGAACAGAAGGTAGAAAGGGAACATGAGAACCATGTTTCCAGATTTCAAAGGGTGTCCCATTGGGGAGGAGAAGGGGTTAACTGACATTCTCTGGAGACCAGGGCACAAGGGAGCAATGGTTTCATAGACTCATAAAGTTGGAAGAGACTTCATGGGCCATCCAGTCCAATCCCCTGCCAAGAAGCATGAATATTGCATTCAAAGCACCCCCGACAGATGGCCATCCAGCCTCTGTTTAAAAGCCTCCAAAGAAGGAGCCTCCACCACACTCCTTCTTTGTATGTACATATGACTTGTAAGCCGCTCTGAGTCCCTTCGGAGTGAGAAAGGCAGCATATAAATGTCATAAATAAATAAATAAATAAATAAATAAATAAATAACTCTGGGGCAGAAAGTTCCACTGCTGAACAGCTCTCACACTCAGGAAGTTCTTCCTAATGTTCAGATGGAATCTCCTTTCTTGTAGTTTGAAGCCATTGTTCTGCATCCTAGTCTCCAAAGCAACAAAAAAAAAACAAGCCTGCTCCCTCCTTGCTGTGACTTTCTCTCACATGGCGATCATGTCTCCTCTCAGCCTTCTTTTCTTCCAGCTAAACACGCCCAGACCTTTAAGCCGCTCCTCATAGGGCTTGTTCTCCAGACCTTTGATCATTTTAATCGCCCTCCTCTGGACACATTCCAGCTTATCAATATCTCTTTTGAATTGTGGTGTCCAGAATTGGACACAATATTCCAGATATGGTCTAACCAAGGCGTAATAGAATAGAGGGGTAGCATGACTTCCCTGGATCTAGACACTAGACTCCTATTGATGCAGGCCAAAATCCCACTGGCTTTTTTTGCCACCACATCACATTTTTGGCTCGTGTTTAACTTATTGTCCACAAGGACTCCAAGATCTTTTTCACATGTACTGCTCTTGAGCCAGGCATTGTCCCCCATTCTGTATCTTTGCATTTCAAATGGCAATGAAAGAGATTCAACTGAAAAGATTAGGAAGAACTTCCAGAGAGTAAGAGCTGTTGGAGAGTGTCGTAGGCTGCCTGGTGGACTCTCCTTTGGAGACTTTTCCAGACAAGCTGTCTATCGGGAGTGCTTTGATTGTGCCTTCTTGCATGACAGGGGGTTGGATTGGATGGCCCTTGAGGGTCTCTTCTAGCTTTAGGATCCTAGGATTCTATATCAGGAGAAGGCAATACAGGGTCTAATTGATACACTCTCCCATCCACCATCTCATCCTGACCAACGGTAACCCTTTTGGGATCCAAATGTTTCCCATCTTTCCTTCACTTTCTGCCTCCGAAAGAGAAGAGGAAGGGGAGGAAAGAGTAGGGAGGGGGCTTGCGTAGAAACCCCTCCCCCCCGGTCCAAAATGCGACCCCCAAATTAGAAAGTTTGCCCATGCCTGCACTAGAGCATGGATCCACTTTAAATCCTGCAGAATTATGGGACTTGTAGTTAGTGAGGCCCAGGACCTGTCTGGCTGAGTAGTTTAAAGACCCCTCTCTAAACTACAAGCCCCAGTATTCAGCAGGAGGCAGAAACTGGATTTAAAGTGGATCCATGCTCTAGGGTGATGAGGTCCTACATATTCACCCATGGATTTGCCAAGTAGTAAGGAGCCCTATCTGAGACGACTATCCCAGTCTCAGCTGTGTCAATGAGATACGTCCGTCTCCATGCTGCAGCATGGGGTTTGCCCCCCACACAATGGCACGGTGCTGTCCCGGTTCTGCCCTTCCATGTCCATGTCCAGAAGAGTCTGGCGTAAGGCCGCGGTCCCCTTGGCGGCCTCCCCGGGTGAGGAGAGATGCAACGAGCTTCCGAGGGAGATGAGTTTCCAAGGGTCAATGCGGTGCCGGCCTGAGGCCGGACGAGGCCGCGGGGCAAAGGCCAGTGTCCGGGGACGCTCAACTGGCATGGCGTCCAAAGAGGCCTTGTGACCCGCCTGGGAAATGTCTGGCAAACGTGGGAAGGGCAACATTTCCTGTAAACCTAAAGGGGAAACAGACAGAGATGAACGTGAGTGTGACACAGGCTGCATTTATCCTGTGCCAATCTCTCCCACAAACAACCTATAACAATCTGGGGAACAAGGAAACACCTCCAGATGTTCCTTAACTCAGGCCCGTAGCCGGGATTTCGTTTCGGGGGGGGGGGGGTGAATTTTTTTTCAGGGGTTGGGGGGGGGGGGGGGGGGGGCTGAGTCTGAGTGAAAGAGGCTCTAGCCTAGCAAACCTTTTGTATCATTACCCCAATACCCCCATGCATATGGGATATATTGAGTATGGTGATCAGATCATGATATGAATAAACATAACAGTTTAAATAATGCACCAATAAGGCCTTTTCGCAAACCACCATGAAAATTTCGGGGGGGGGGGGCTGAAAAAAAAAAAAACTCTGTGCAGGACTGAAGCTTAATTTATATAAGCTTCACTGAGTTTCGGGGGGGGGGGCTGAGTCTGAGTGAAAGAGGGTCTAGCCTAGCAAACCTTTTGTATCATTACCCCAATACCCCCATGCATATGGGATATATTGAGTATGGTGATCATATCATGATATGAATAAACATAACAGTTTAAATAATGCACCAGTAAGGCCTTTTCGCGAACCACCATGAGAATTTCGGGGGGGGGGGGGGTGAAACCTCTGGGCAACAAAGACCAGACTGTTATTGTTCATTTGTTCAGTCACTTCCAATTCGTTGTGACATTAACCATCCCACGCCAGAGCTCCCTGTCAGCGGTCACCACCCCCAGCTCCTTCAAGGTCAAGCCAGTCACTTCAAGGATGCCATCCATCCATCTTGGCCTGACTACCTCTATGCAGATATCTTCACTGATTGACTTTGCAGACTTCATGAGAAATCAAATGCTAATTCAAGCTTGCTAATTGCAACATTCCCACTTGCTTTAAACAGACAAGGGTTCTTTCTCCCACCCTGGACATTTCACAGAGAGAGAGAGAGAGAGAGAGAGAGAGAGAGAGAGAGAGAGAGAGACACTCTACTTGCTTCACTGCCAACAGAACCTCTAAAGATGCCAGTCACAGATGCAGGGGAAGTGTTAGGAGAGAATGCTGCTGAACATGGCCATACAGTCCAAAAAACTCACTGCAGCCCAGTGATTCTGGCCGTGAAAGCCTTCAACAATATAGTTTTGCTTCCAGTCCCCAAATTGCAATCGAGTAAGACTCAAGTTTAACACTCAAAAATACAGCTGATGTATCCAAAGGAAAGCAACAAGCCATTGTCAAAGGAATACGAACACTGCAAATACGAGAGCTGTAGCTTCAATAATTTAACCCCATGGGAGCTTTGCAAGGGATGCATCCAACACACTTTTGGATGGATGAACCAACGTAAATTCCTAGTGAAGTTTCGGATACAATGAGCCCAACATAAACACCAGGGAAGCTTTTGCTTCAGGAACTGAGGCTCACCTTTGCAGTCCCCACCCTGCAAGCCCTGACGGATGGCCCCATCGGATGGTGTCCGGCGGTGGCCCCTATTGACAGCCTGGGTGGCGCTGACATGGGTCGGGGTAAGTGACTGCCGGGGGTCCTTCTTGAAGCTCTCGATGGTGACGTCCACCAGTGGGTTGTGGCGTGGAGTTGGCGGGGGACTCTCGGGAAGGCAGGGAGGCTCATACATGGGGGCTTCATCACTGTCCGAAGGCAGAAGGGACTTGGTGGAGTTGCAATCCGAGAGAGAGGAGAGGGAGAGAAGGGTAACAGAACTGGGGGGACCTGAAGCAGCACGGGCCATCAACCCTTCGCCTGCCAACTCTGCCAGCTCGGCGCCCAGGGCAATGGAGGCCAAGATGGACGCACAGCCCAGCAGCACGAGCTCACTGCGACGATGATTGTGGTGGGAGGCTGCGCCCCGCTTGGGCCACTCTGAACAAGGTGGTAGGGTCTTCAAACTGACATCTCCTTCTGGCGGTGGCAAGAGGGGCATGTATGGTGAGTGAGGTGTGCTGCTCTCCTTCTCCGCGTACTCCTCTGCAGTTGCAGAGAGATAAAGGAACAGTTAGTAATTTAGTCAGTCACATTTGTACATTCACATCAATGACATACACTAGTGAAGCTTTACATTAGCTAAGTACTTTTTCTCATTGCATAAGGAAGTATCCTATACCTCCTTGCTTACTAATAATACTAACTATTATTTGATACACAACAAGATTAGTGCATAGCAAACAAAATCGCTATGCTGGCTTTTGTATTCGCTCACACGTCTGACACTGCAGATCTGAGTAGGGTGGCCTTTTGCAGCCTGTCAGATGGTGATTTTGTCAGTGCCGATTGTTTTTAAGTGCAGGCCAAGGTCTTTAGGCACTGCACCCAGTGTGCGGATCACTGGGACTGCCTTGACTGTCTTATGCCAGAGTCTTTGCAGTTCAATCTTTAAATCGTCATGTCGTGTAAGCATTTCCAGTTGCTTTTCATCAACTCCGGTGTTGCCTGGAATTGCAACATCAACAATCCATAATTTGTTTTTTCCCACAATCGTGCTCCAAAACTCTGTCAGTCTGAATTCAGAAATCCCAGAGTAGTTTGATATGTTCAATACTTCTTCTTCTTCTTCTTCTTCTTCTTCTTCTTCTTATTATTATTATTATTATTATTATTATTATTTGATACGGTTCTGGCCCAGCTTATCTATCCGAACGCATCTCTTCCTACAAACCCTCCAAGAATGTGAGATCGTCCGAGTAGGCCCTGCTCTCGATCCCACCTGCTTCTCGTCTGGCGGGGACGAGAGACAGGGCTTTTTCTGTGGTGGCCCCTCAACTGTGGAACTCCCTGCCTGGGGATATTAGATTAGCCCCCTTCCTCCTGACCTTTCAGAAAAGAGTAAAACTTGGCTCTTCGAGCAAGCATTTGGAACCTCTGAATAAATAGATAAACTTGAATTGGAAAATGACCCAGGAACGGCCTAAGACGATGGAACAGATAAGGACTTGAATGAGAGGATATAGTTTTTAGTTTTTAATATTGATATTATGCACTGCCTTATGTCTAATTGCACTATAATGGTTCTTTTTGTTTATCAATGTATGTATTTTTATGGCATCGAATTGTGCCGATTGTGTTCGCTGCTCTGAGTCGCCTTCGGGCTGATATGAGCGGGGTAGAAATAATGCAAATAAATAAATAAATAAATACACAACAAGATTAATATACAGCAAACAAGATCTCTATACTGGCTTTTGTAAGTGTCTAACACTTTATATATCAGTGAATAATGTATGCAGATCCAAGCAGGGTGGCCTTTTGCAGCTGAAAGATGGTAATTTTGTCAGTGCTGATTGTTTTTAAGTGCTGGCCAAGGTCTTTAGGCACTGCACTCAGTGTGCCGATCACCACTGGGACCACCTTGATTGGCTCGTGCCAGAATCTTTGCAGTTTGATCTATTATTATTATTATTGGAACAAGCCAATGTTCAAGGAGGCATAAGGATACTTTCTTATATAATAGGTGTTGGGTAGCCCCTTTCTCCACCCTCTTCCAATATGAACAGCTACTGATTTGTGAAGGGATGCGCCAAAAATGCTCCTCTGTGCCAATGCACAATGAGAAGTGGTTGGTCTCACAATATTTTTCTTAATTACAAGTTGTACTAATTGATTCTCTGTCACCATTACATACTATCTTTATCTTTTGGATCCTCTGGGTAGAGTTGCAAGTAGAATCATAGAATCATAGAATCATAGAATCAAAGAGTTGGAAGAGACCTCATGGGCCATCCAGTCCAACCCCCTACCAAGAAGCAGGAATATTGCATTCAAATCACCCCTGACAGATGGCCATCCAGCCTCTGTTTAAAAGCTTCCAAAGAAGGAGCCTCCACCACACTCCGGGGCAGAGAGTTCCACTGCTGAACGGCTCTCACAGTCAGGAAGTTCTTCCTCATGTTCAGATGGAATCTCCTCTCCTGTAGTTTGAAGCCATTGTTCCGTGTCCTAGTCTCCAAGGAAGCAGAAAACAAGCTTGCTCCCTCCTCCCTGTGGCTTCCTCTCACATATTTATACATGGCTATCATATCTCCTCTCAGCCTTCTCTTCTTCAGGCTAAACATGCCCAGCTCTTTAAGCCGCTCCTCATATGGCTTGTTCTCCAGACCCTTGATCATTTTAGTTGCCATCCTCTGGACACATTCCAGCTTGTCAATATCTCTCTTGAATTGTGGTGCCCAGAATTGGACACAATATTCCAGGTGTGGTCTAACCAAGGCAGAATAGAGGGGTAGCATGACTTCCCTAGATCTAGACACTATGCTCCTATTGATGCAGGCCAAAATCCCATTGGCTTTTTTTGCCGCCACATCACATTGTTGGCTCATGTTTAACTTGTTGTCCACGAGGACTCCAAGATCTTTTTCACACGTACTGCTCTCGAGCCAGGCGTCACCCATCTGTATCTTTGCATTTCATTTTTTCTGCCAAAGTGGAGTATCTTGCATTTGTCACTGTTGAACTTCATTTTGTTAGTTTTGGCCCATCTCTCTAATCTGTCAAGATCGTTTTGAATTCTGCTCCTGTCCTCTGGAGTATTGGCTATCCCTCCAATTTGGTGTCATCTGCAAACTTGATGATCCTGCCTTCTAGCCCTTCATCTAAGTCATTAATAAAGATGTTGAACAGGACCGGGCCCAGGACGGAACCCTGCGGCACTCCACTTGTCACTTCTTTCCAGGATGAAGAGGAAGCATTGGTGACCCTCTGGGTTCGTCCATTTAACCAATTCCAGATCCACCTCACCGTAGTTTTGCCTAGCCCACATTGGACTAGTTTCCTTGCCAGAAGGTCATGGGGGACCTTGTCAAAGAAGGCCTTACTGAAATCCAGGTACGCTACATCCACGGCATTCCCCGCATCTACCCAGCTTGTAGCTCTATCGAAAGAAAGAGATCAGATTAGTCTGGCATGACTTGTTTTTGATAAATCCATGTTGACTATTAGCGATGACTGCATTTGTTTCTAAGTGTTTGCAGACCACTTCCTTAACAATCTTTTCCAGAATCTTACCCGGTATCGACGTGAGGCTGACCGGACGGTAGTTGTTTGGGTCATCCTTTTTTCCCTTCTTGAAGATTGGGACCACATTGGCCCTCCTCCAATCTGCTGGAACTTCTCCCGTTCTCCAAGAACTCTCAAAGATGGTTGCCAATGGTTCCGAAATGACTTCCGCTAGTTCCTTCAATACTCTGGGGTGTAGTTGATCTGGCCCTGGGGACTTGAACTCATTAAGAGCGGCCAGGTATTCCTGGACGACTTCTTTCCCAATTTGGGGTTGGATGTCCTCCAATCCCTCATCCACTCCATCTTGCTGAGGTTGAAGACTCTCTTTTTGTGAGAAGACCGAGGCAAAGAAGGCATTAAGTATGTTCTGCCTTTTCCCTATCCCCTGTCAGCATTGCCCCATCTTCTCCTCGAAGAGGTCCTATCGCCTCCTTGTTTTTCCTTTTTCTACTGACATAAGAATAGAAGCCCTTTTTATTGTTTTTAATGTCCCTGGCAAGTCTGAGCTCGTTTTTTGCTTTAGCCTTGCGGACCTTTTCCCTACAGGTGTTGGCTATTTGTTTGAATTCTTCTTTGGTGATTTCTCCCTTTTTCCACTTCTTGTGCATGTCTCTTTTGTGTCTTAGCACAGTTAGAAGTTCTTTGGATATCCATTCTGGCTTCTTTGCACTTGTCCTATTTTTTCTCTTTGTTGGCACGGTTTGCAATTGCGCCTTGAGTATTTCACTCTTGAGAAATTCCCATCCATCCGTAACTCCCTTGTCTTTTAGTATCTGTGTCCACGGAATGCTGCTCAGCGTTTCCTTCATTTTTTGGAAATCAGCTCTCCTAAAGTCCAAAATGCGGGTTTGACTTGTCTTAGTTTCGGCCTTCCTTTGTACCTCAAATTGCAGGAGCACATGGTCACTTGCCCCTAAGGATCCTACCACTTCGTCCGCATCGATCAGGTCCTCCGCATTTGTTAGGATGAGATCAAGAGTAGCCAATCCCCTTGTTGCCTCTTCTACCTTCTGGACCATGAAATTGTCTGCAAAGCAAGCGAGGAATTTGTTGGACCTTGTACTCTTGGCCGAGTTTGTTTTCCAGCAAATATCGGGATAGTTGAAATCGAGGAATAGAGGAAGGAAGTGGTCACAACAGAGCCCTATTTCCCCCTGTTGAGGTTCAGAAAGCACCAAAGAACCTGAGTCATTGATATGCCAGAGCCTCGGTCTTGAAAATTTGAGTCCAGGCCAGAATACATCAACATTTCTTCTATGCCATTTTAAAACAAGAATAGGCAACATTTCCTCTCCAAGCATCCAAACAACCATCAAACACCACCTGCAAAACTAAGCTCACCCATCTCATTGAGGCTAGCAAAGCCTCCAGCCAGTGGCATATGCTTTGGAGACTTGCCCAAGTTGGGAGCACTGGAGGACCACTGCTTGCTGCCTTCAGACAGAGACTTCAACCTGTACAAGTGAAAAAGAAGAATGACCTCAATCTGAGAGGCTGAATCCACTCCAGTCTCCTTCCATGAGACAATCTTGTTTCTCCATCCCAACCATAACCCTTCCTGCTGCCCCATTGTTACCTTCTCATTCACTTCTAGGTTCCTCACCTTTCTTCTCCTCCTAGTCTCTCCTTGTGGACGGTGGAACTGGGTCCCCACGTCCGACCTTTCTTCTTGGTCCCCACCAGCTCCTCCTTCTTGATCGCAGTGCTGCGTCCCCATGTCCGGCTTCCATCCAAAGGTGTCACTAGGAAACCACAAGGAATGGGATTTTACAAAGGGTAGAGCAACGTTTCTCAACCAGAGAGTTGTGACCCCTGGGGGTGGGGGTTGCATAGGGGTGTCACAGTATTTTCTGTTGGTCATGGGAATTCTGTGTGGGAAGTTTGGCCCAATTCTGTCATTGGTGGAGTTCAGAATGCTCTTTGATTGTAGGAGAACTATAAATCCCTGCAACTACAACTCCAAAATATCAAGGTCTATTTTCCCCAAACTCCATCAGTCTTCACATTTGGGCATGTTGAATATTTGTGTCAAGTTTGTTCCAGATCCAGCATTGTTTGAGCCCACAGTGCTCTCTGGAGTTAGGTGAACTACAACTCCCAAATTCAAAGTCAATGCCCAACAAACCCTTCCAGTCTTTTCTGTTGGTTATGGGAGTTCTGTGAGCCAAGTTTGGTTCAATTCCATCATTGGTGGAGTTCAGAATTATGTTTGATTGTAGGTGAACTATAAATCCCAGCAAGTACAACTCCAAAATGTCAAGGTCTATTTCCCCCAAATTCCATCGGTCTTCACATTTGGGCATATTGAGTATTTTTGTCAAGTTTGTTCCAGATCCAGCATTGTTTGAGCCCACAGTGCTCTCTGGAGTTAGGTGAACTACAACTCCCAAATTCAATGCCCACCAAACCCTTCCAGTATTTTCTATTGGTTATGAGAGTTCTGTGTGCCAAGTTTGGTTCAATTCCATCGCTGGTGGAGTTCAGAATGCTCTTTGATTGTAGGTGAACTATAAATCCCAACAACAAGAACTCCCAAATGACAAAATCAATCCCTCCCTGACCCCACCAATATTCAAATTTGGGCATATTGGGTATTTGTGTCAAATTTGGTCCAGTGAATGAAAATTCACCCTGCATATCAGATATTTACATTACAATTCATAAAAGTAGGAAAATTACAATTATGAAGCAGCAACTAAAATAATTTTATGGTTGAGGGTCACCAAAACATGAGGAACTGTGCTAAGGTGTTGTGGCATTGGGAAAGTTGAGAACCACAGGGGTAGAGAAACAACAGGCATATTAGCTGTTCCCCATAGCAGAGTTCAGAAGACCCATTTGCTCAGATTTTGTTGTTGTTGTTGTTTATTTGTTCAGTCATTCAGAAGGAAAAAGGACGGGGGGCCGACCAAGGGCAAGATAGATGGATGGCATCCTTGAAGTGACTGGCTTGACTCTGAAGGAAGTTGGGGACTGACAGGGAGCTCTGGCGTGGGTTGGTACATGAGGTCACAAAGAGTCGGAAACGACTAAATGAATAGACAACAACAACACCAAGTCCCCAAGCTAGTAGTCAATAAAACAGAAATAGATGTTTTTCTGAAACTCCCTGCTCAGATTACAATTCTCTGAATCCCCAAACAGCATAGCGAGGGGCCATGGTGGCAGGGAGATTTGGAGAGCCGTGGTGCACAAAAGTAGCATACTTAAGCTTTGCATCCGAAACTGTGTTCGCCTCCAACTGGTGCCCATGAGACGGCGACTGGCCTTATGTATAAAGCCAGTGTCTCTACGTCCCCCACAGAAAGAAATCTCTTAGGAAACCCCAGTATATTAGTGACGGATGAGGACTCCAGAGGTACTTACAGCGAATGGCACGGAGGCGTGGGATGATGTTGGGGCTGCCAGGCGGACTGGCCCCATTGGACCCCAACCCTTTCCGACGGTCGAGAGTCGGGGATGCCTGTACTGTGATCTTGTGTTCAAACCCTAAGGAAGAAAGAGGAGTATAGCATTTCAGAGGGAGAGAAAGAGAGATTGCACAATCTCCCCAATGAATCCTGTCCTGTCAGGGGGTGCATCTATACCAGGCATGGGCAAACTTGGGCCCTCCAGGTGCTTTGGACTTCAACTCCCACAATTCCTAACAGCCTCAGGCCCTTTCCTTTTCCCCCTCAGCTGCTTAAGCTTAATGCTTCTTTGGGGAAAATGCTGGAGGAAAAGGCAGGCATTAGATAAGAGTGTTGGATAGGACAGAATGTCGGATAAGCCAAGGTCGGATAAACGAGACTCTACTGTACATGTATTTTATAGAATATTTATGATTATGCATTTTAGATATGTTGTAATTGGCCTTGAGCTACAAAGAGAGATGGGTAAGAAATTATTATTATTATTATTATTAATAATAATAATAATAATAATATTAACTTGTGATTATTATTATTATTATTATTATTATTATTATTATACTGACACAAAACTACAGTATGTCACAGCAAACAAAATCCAGCATAGAGATCTCAAACAAGATGGCTGTGCCGGCTTTTGTCTTCGATCACACATCAGGCACTTCCCAAGTGTCTAGGGTTGTGTGATGTATCGGCGAATAATTCGTGCAGAACTGAGTATGGTGGCCTTTTGCAGATGTGTTTGCATGTCAGGAGTGACTTGAGAAAATGCAAGTCGCTTCTGGTGTGAGAGAATTGGCCGTCTGCAAGGACGTTGCCCAARGGATGACATTTGGTAATTTTGTCAGTGCCGGCCAAGGTCTTTAGGCACTGCACCCAGTGTGCCAATCACCACTGGGACCACCTATACTGGCTTGTGCCAGAGTCTTTGCAGTTTGATCTTTAAATCTTTAAATAACAACAACAACAACAACAACAACAACTGGGAAAGSWGACACAATACAAGGATTTAAAGAYTGAACTGCAAAGACTCTGGCGCAAGCCAGTAAAGGTGGTCCTAGTGGTGATCGGCACATGAGGTGCAATGCCTAAAGACCTTGGCAACTACAACTTGCACTTAAGCACAATCGGCGCTGACAAAATTACCATCTGCCAGCTGCAAAAGGCCAGCCTATTGGGATCTACACGCATTATTTGCCGATACATCACACAGTCCTAGACACTTGGGAAGTGTCCAATGTGTGATCCAATACAATAGCCAGCAGGATGRTCTTGTTTGCTGTGGACTCATYTTGTTGTGTTTCAGATAATAATAATAATAATAATAATAATAATAATAATAATAATAATAATAATATTGTCTGGCCCCAATGGGTCCCCAGTGGGAACAGGGGTTTCTGTGCCTCCCCCTTCCTCATCCCCTTTGGGGTCCCTTCAGTCTGCAATGCAGGGGCTCAGGATCTGCTTCCCAGCCTGTGCACCTGATGGGAGGCTGATGCGGTTGCCATCACGCAGCTTCAGGCGGGAACGTCGGAAGTGCCCCTTCCGCTTCTTGACCCGGGGCCTCTCTTGGCCCATCTGCATCATGATGAGGTTCAGCTCCCGCTCTACAATGTCGATTTCACGCTCCGCCAACTCCTGTTCACGCCGGCGTAGCTCTGCTTCCTGGGTCTTCTGCTCCTCAGCCGCACGGAGCAGCTCTTCCTCTCGGCTCCGCAGCTCCTGGAAATGGCAAGGAAGGCAAAGGATGCATCCACATTGCGCAAGTGTAGCAGTTTCACAATAATGTCCAGGGAGGGAGAAATAACTTTTGTCTCTTTGAGTCAAATGTGAATGTTGCAATTGATTAGCATTAAATGCCCTTGCAGCTTCAAAGCCTGGCTGTTTCCTGCCTGGGGGAATTCTTTGTTGGGAGGCAGACAAGAGTACTTTCTCCCACCGTGGACATTCCACAGATATATAAACCTCACTTGCCTAGTTTCCAACAGATCTCGCAACCTCTGAGAATTTCTATATCTGTGGAATAATGTCAATTTGATTATCATTAAATGGCCTTGCAGCTTCAAAGCCCGGCTGTTTCCTTCCTGGGGGAATCCTTTATTAGGAGGCAGGAAGCAGCTAGGCTTTGAAGCCGCAAGGCCATTTGATGCTAATCAAGGTGGCCAATGGCAACATTCACACTTGCCTCAATCAGACAAAAAATATTTTTCCCACCCTGTACATGATTCCACAGATATATAAATCTTGCTTCCCTAGTTTCCAACAGACCTCACAACCTCTGAGGATGCCTGCCATAGATGTGGGCAAAACGTCAGGAGAGAATGCTTCTGGAACATGGCCAGACAGTTTGGAAAACTCAAAACAACCCAGTGATTCTGGCCATGAATGCCTTCGACAACAGTATTAAAAATTCCTAGTTAATAATAATTAAAACATATTCCAAGTCAAAAACCACAGCACCCTTTAGTCCTTTGCTTGAGAAATAGCTTTTTTAATACAATACAGCCCCAAGTAGCCAAAGCCACACTTTGTCCACCTTACCGCTACACCATCCTGATCTAGGATATTTGCAACAAAGGCTCCAAGTAATGGGTTGACTGATAAGCAGTGGCTTGGAGGAAGTGCATGGAAATCTGAGCCAAAGGGATGGAAATGGGGGCTCACTTTCTCCTTGGTCCGCAAATCGAGGAACATGCCCGCAATCTCCACTTTCCAGTCCTGCTGCAAAGAGTGAAAGGACTCCAATGGCATCTGGAACATTGCAGACTGCTCTATTGCCACCAGCTGCTGCAGGATGGAGCTGAAGTCTGGTCGGGAATGAGGGTCCGAGCTCCAGCACTCTGCAAAGCGGCAGAAAAACCAAGAATGGCTTAAGCCTAAAGCAAGCATTAAAAGTGACACGTACCTCACCCACCCTAAAAACAAAGTCCAACTTAAACTGCAGTGATGCTGAGGTTGTTAACCGAAAGGTTGCAGATTCAAATCTGGGGAACAGGGTGAGCTTCCCCTGTCAGCCCCAGCTTCTGCCAACCTAGCAGTTCAAAAACATGCAAACGTGAGTAGATCAATTGATACCGCTCTGGCGGGAAGGTAACAGTGCTCCATGCAGTCATGCCGGCCACATGACCTTGGAGGTGTCTACAGACAACGCCGGCTCTTCAGTTGAGAAATGGAGATGAGCACCAACTCCCAGAGTGGGACACGACTGGACTTTTAATGTCAGGGGAAAACCTGTTATTTCCTGTTTGACTATGCTGTACTTACTTTGAAAGTAGTGTCTATATTCCAGAAACTTTGTTTTTGTTTTTGCTTTGGTTTTTTTGTGGTTGAATTGGTTGAGACTCTATAAGATATTCATTGAAAAATGATAGCAAAATGCAATATTTACAACCGCTTTGGTTAGAACCAACTGGGATCCAATTGTCAAATTGTCTTATTTTCTTTCTGGAGAGAATCTACACTAGGTCTACTGCATAGCTAATTTCATTATAAAAGGGTTTTTGTTTGTTTGTTTTTTTACAAAAGTGGAGCAATACGTTAAATCCTTGTGCCGGTAGGACTGCTGACCGAAAGGTCGGCAATTTGACTCCAGGGAGTAAGGTGAGCTCCCATCTGTCAGCTCCAGCTCCCCATACAGGGACATGAGAGAAGCTTCCCACAGGATGGTAAAACATCCAAGAGTCCCTTGAACAATATCTTTGCAGATGGCCAATTCTCTCACACCAGAAGCGACTTGCAGTTTCTCAAGTCACTCCCAAGATGGAAAAAAAATTAATAAAGTTGCCCACCTGAGAAATCTTTTTATCTCACAAAATGGGGTCATGTTTGGCAGTTTTCTGTGGTTTAGGATGGGGTGGTAAAAGGGTGTCCATACTATCATCCACATTATACTGTCATAGTGCCATGGTTCCACTTTAATTCACATAGTTCCACATGGAATCCTGGGATTGTAATTCTGGGAGGGACATTTAGCATTGTCCATCAGAACGCTCTAAACTAAAAGTCCCGAGATTCCATAGGATGCAGCCAGAGAAGTTCAACTGGAATTGTCTCCTGCCAACCCAAATCTCCAAGGAGGCAGAGATGGGGAAAACCTGAGTCTGTGCCTGCTTCTCACTCACCCTCAAGCAAGTGGGCAAAGGGTTCGGGGCAGGTGGAGGGAATAGGCAGCGTCAACTTGTTCATAGCCACTCCATAGGCCACGGCAAGGGCATCGATTTCCCGGTACGGGACTTCGCCAGTCAGCAGTTCCCACAGCAGTACCCCAAAGCTAGAGAGAGATGAGAAAGAAAGGATACAGGGAATGAGTGGGCAAAAAACAAGACATTTACAAATACAGACAAACACAGTTCCCTCCCTGCACAGAGCTGCTTCCAGTGGGGCAACGGGGGAATTCAGACACTTGGCTTAATGGTTTTTAATTGTCTTACAGGACCACTGCCAGATGGTAAGGTGTGGCACTTCCCATTTCAAAATCTTCATGAGCTTCCTTTACTACTTTTCTCTCAACACCCAAGTACAGAGAGGGGAAAACATTTCAGCTTTTCCTACCCAGTTTCCAGTTCCTTCATCTATTTATTTATTTGTGGCACAGTGGGTTAAACCACTGAGCTGCTGAACTTGCTGACCAAAAGGTCAACGGTTTGAATCCGTGGAGTGGAGTTAGCCCCAGCTTCTGCCAACCTTCAAAAACATGCAAATGTAAGTAGATCAATAGGTACCACTTTGGCGGGATGGTAACAGCACTCCATACAGTCATGCTAGCCACGTGACCTTGGAGGTGTCTATAGATAACACCAGCTCTTCAGCTTAGAAATGGAGATGGGCACCAACCTCCAGGGTTGGATATGACTAGACTTAATGTCAGGGGAACACCTTTACGTTTACCTTTTATATTCTACCCTACTCATCCCGAAGGGGCCTCAGGGCAGATCACAGGACATATACACAGTGAACATTCAATGCCATTAAACTCTTGGCATCCCCCCAGCAACAGCAAGGGTATCTTTCTAGGCCAGTGGTTCTCAACCTGGGGTCCTCAGATGTTTTTGGCCTACAACTCCCAGAAATCCCAGACAGTTCACCAGCTGTTAGGATTCCTGGGACTTGAAGGACAAAATCATCTGGGGAGCCCAGGTTGAGAACCACTGCTCTAGGAAGCTAAACCAGGAAATCCTAACTGGATGACCCCCCCCCCCCGGGGGGGGGTCTTTCTCCAGGGGCAAACCAGGAATGTGCAACTTGGAAGTCCCTGAACAGACGCAGAAGTGGAGTCGGCAGATCAAAAGACAACCTGGCAAAAAATAGCACTACCTAAAAGAATCTCACACCTTGTGTGACTGTGGAGCAGAACAGACAACTCTTTATCTGTATGATTGTCCACTATGCCCTGCTTCATGTACAGAGGAAGAATTGTTGGAGACTACAGACAGTACTGTTGCTGTTGCCCGTTTTTGATCAAAAAATATTTAGCCACCTGCGCTAAATTTATACTAATTTATGCAATGCTTTTGATACGAAATACATCAATAAAATGCCATTAAACAGACAGGACAGAAAACAGATACAGGTATATGTCTGCATTTTTCCCAACTTCGGTGTCCTGGAGGTTGTGCTCAATTCCGGCCACAGGGGGGTGCTGTCACTTCATCCTCTATGACAAAGAGTCCTTGATCACAGACTTCCTCCTTCCTTTGATCACGGCATTTTCTGATATTGCCTTTTTATGGTGCCGTAAAATACCTCCCAATTTAAGAGGTGCCTAAGTTCTCTACTCACAGCTTACAGCTGTTTTCGAACTGCTTAGGTCAGTGTTTCTCAACTTTCCTAATGCCGCGACCCCTTAATACAGTTCCTCATGTTGTGTTGACTCCCAAACATAAAATTATTTTCATTGCTACTTCATAATTGTCATTTTGCTACTGTTATGAATTGTAATGTAAATATCTGATATGCAGGATGTATTTTCATTCACTGGACCAAATTTGGCACAAATACCCAATATGCCCAAATCTGAATAGTGGTGGGATTGGGGAGGATTGATTTTGTCATTTGTGAGTTGTGGTTGCTGGGATTTATAGTTCACCAATAATCAAAGAGCATTCTGAACACCACCAACGATGGAATTGAACCAAACTTGGCACACAGAACTCCCATGACTTACAGAAAATACTGGAAGGGTTTGGTGGGCACTGACCTTGAGTTTTGGAGTCGCAGTTCACCTACATCCAGAGAGCACTGTGGACTCAAACAATGATGCATCTGAACCAAACTTGTCATGAATTCTCAATATGCCCAAATGTGAACACTGGTAGAGTTTGGGGGAAATAGACCTTGACATTTGGGAGTTGTAATTGTTGAGATTTATAGTTCACCTACAATCAAAAAGCACTCTGAGCCCCACCAATGATACAGTTGTGCTGAACTTTCCAAACAGAACCCCCATGACCAACAGAAAACACTGTTTTCTGATGGCCTTTGGCGACTCCTCTGACAGCCCCTTGCGACCCCCCACAGAGTCCCGACCCCCCAGGGTGAGAAATGCTGGCTTAGGTGGACAGTGAGCTGGGCTGAAGGTCAGGGGCTCACCCTGACTTGGGCTTCGAATTGCCAACCTTTCGATTGGTATGATATATTGCCCAATAGACTGAAATTCATCTGATGGAGATTTCCAAATCCCCAAGAGAAGTTTCTGCCAGTCCTATACAAGAGCTGTGTTGGAAAAAAAAGATGCCCATTTTCTCCAAAGGAAAGTGACCCTTGCTTTCCCCCTCTCCTTGCCTTACCTCCAAACGTCACTGCTCTTGGAGAAGAGGGAGTGCCTGATGACCTCTGGTGCCATCCAGGCGTAGGTGCCCGCTGCGCTCATCTTGGTGGTTTTGTGCCACTCGCGGGCCAGGCCGAAATCAGTGATCTTGAGGGTGCAGCTGCTCAAGTCCTCATTCTCAATGCGCTCCAGGATTAAAACTAGAAAGAGGCAGGAGAAATACCAGATGGTGGAAAGGAGGGAGGGAGGGAAGGAGGAAAGGAAGGAGAAAGGGAGGGAGGGACGGATGTCACAAAAAAGAGGAGGCATGGGCACCGTTTCCAGTTGCTTTAATACTTGATGGCTTGATAGCTTTTAGCCCATTTGTTTTCCTGGTGGGATGGATTTCAGGATTTGATCTGTTTGATCATAGCCACCCATTGAATTTTTGGAACGATTGTATATTGAGCAAGCCTCACCCTCTCTGCCATATTGCCATTCCTGAACACACATCAGAAGATAGAGTTTCTTGCACATTTTGATACCATTTGAATTCCCATGGTGCCACCCTGTGGAATCCTGGGAATTAATCAAGTTCTAGTGCTTTTTGCCAGAAAATCTTAAGAATTTGCAAACATTCATGCCCTGACAGAGGTCTCTATCTTCAGTGCCTAACATAAACTATCTGTTACCATTCTGCCTCCCCAACATTTCCAGTTTCCAAAATAGCCCATCCTCTCTTTCCTCCTACCACCTTCCCCCTTTGTCCCTGGCTTACTTTAAAAGATGCAGACTAAGATCAAGATACAAACGTCATTGATATTCCATGAAACTCAGAACTGGGAGTAAGCCTTCCCAGTAGCTCTCCTAGCTTATGTGTTCTTCTTCATATATCATCTTTTCCATCCCAGACCACACTCTGATGTTGCTTGGCCGCACATATCCCAGTTACCAACTCTGAAACCTTGTAGAGCAGGAATGGGCAAACTTTCAAACTTGGGGGCCACTAGCTAGCACTTCGTGCTAAGAGGAATGGCTGTCCGGTGATGGAAGGAAGGAAGGGAAGGAGGAAGGAAAGAGAGAAGGAAGGAAGGACGAAAGGGGAGAAGGGAAGGATGAAAGGAGAAAGAGGAAGGTAAGGGAGTGAGGGAGGGAGGGTGAAAGGGAAAGATGGAAGGAAGGAAGGAAGGGAGGGAGAGAGGAGGGAGGAGGGAGAGGAAGGAAAGAGAGAAGGAAGAACGAAAGGGTGGAAGGGAGAGGGTGGAGAAGAGGGAGGGAGGAAGAGAAGGGAAGAAGGATGGAAGGAGGTAGAGGGAGGTAAAGAAGAGGGAGGGAGGTAAGGAGGAAAGAAAGAGAGAAGGAAGGAAAGATAAAAGGGATAAAAGGAAGAAAGGATGGGAGGGCAGGTGAAAGGGAAGGGTGAAAGGGAAAGATGAAAGGGAAGAAGAAAGGGAAAAGAGAGGAAGGAAGGAAGGAAGGAAAGGAAGGAAGGAAGGAGAGAAGGAAGGAAGGAAGAAAAGGAAGGGAGAAGAAAGAAAGAAGAAAGGTTGGAAGGGAATGGAGGGGTGGAGAAGATGAAGGAAAGAAGGGAAGAGGAGAGAGGGAAGGAAGAAAAGAGGGAGGAAGGAAGAGAAGGGAGGAAAGGAAGGGAAAAGGAGAAAGGAAGGGAGGGAGGAGGGAGGTAAGGAGGAAAGAAAGAGAGAAGGAAGGAAAGACAAAAGGAAAGAAGGAAGAAGGATGGGAGGGAGGGAAAGGGAAGGGGAAAGGGAAGGAGAAAGAAGGAATGAAATGGAATGGAATGGGAAGAAGAGGGAGAGAGGAAGAGAGAGGAAGAGGAGAGAGGGAAGGAGAGAGGAAAGAGGGAAAGGAAAGGACAAAAGGGGGGGGATGAGAAAGAGGAGAAGGGAGGAGGGAGGAAGGGAGAAGGAAAGAGAAGAGAAGAAAAGACAAAAGGGAAGGAAGGAAAGGAAGGGAAAGAAAGATGGAAGGAAGGGAAAAAGAAAGGAAAAAAGAAGGAAGGAAAGGAGAAGGAGAGAAGGAAGAATGATGAAAGGGTGGAAGGGAATGGATGGGGAGAAAGAGGAGGGAGGAAGGAGGAGAAAGAGGAGAGAGGGAAGGAGAGAGGAAGGAGGAAAGGAGGAAGGACGAAAAGGGAGGAAGGAGGAAGGAGAAAAGGGAGAAAGGAGGGAGGAGGGAGAAGAGGAAGGAAAGGAGAAGGAAGGAAAGACAAAAGGGAAGGAAGGGGGAAGGAAGGATGGAAGGCAAGAAGTGAAGGAGGAAGGAAAAAGAGAAGAAGAAGGAGAAGAAAGAGAGAAGGAAGGAACGATGAAAGGATGGAAGGGAATGGAGGGGTGGAGAAACAGGGACGAAGGAAGGAGAAAGAAGGAAGGAGGGAGGAAAGAGGGTGTCGTATCTTCAATACGACACCCTTTCAAATATTTAAACATGCTATCACATCACCTTCTCTTCTCCAGGTAAACATATTAACCTCTCTAAACCACTCGCCAAAGGACATGGCTTCAGATGCTCCGTTCCAGATGTGGCTGGATTGCAAGTCAAAGCATCCTTTCCAGCATGGTCAATGGAAAAGAGTGCTGGGAGTTTCGGCCCAGGCATGGCATCGAAAGGGATGCATGAGCTGCACTCCTGACTGAAGGATCACATTTGGAAACTTCATCCCACAAGCAGGAGTCTAATTTCTTACTACAGTTTCAGATGTTGTTCGTTTAAACCACATGGAGATCTACAGTTAGAACCAGTGTCCTCCACAAACACAATACTGCCCACCACCCAAGTGAAGGCTTTCATACAGGACAATTCCATCCTAGATTTTCTGTGTTTCCTCCACCACAGACATCCCAGTGTTTCTTACTCTCTCCATTGGTGTGGAATTTGCATGACCCCACCCACTGCCTCTCCCTTAACCTTTTCCTATTCTTTTCTATGGCACACAGCAAACAGAGGACTTGATCAGCAACTGAACATACTAGAAAGGTTTGGGGAGAATTCACCATGATATGTAGGAGTTGTAAGTCCTGGGATGTATAGTTCACCTGCAATCTAAGAGCACTCTGAACTTCAACAACGATGGACCTGGAACTAACTTGGCACACAGGACTCCCAAGTCCAACCAAAAAATACTGGAGGTCTTTGAATGGATTTATAAGAGTTGTAGTTCACCTACATCCAGATTGCACTATGAACCCAAAGAATGATGGATCTGGATCTAACTTGGCATGCATACCCAAATTTGAAAACTGGTGGGTTTTGAGGGGAATTGGCCTGGACATTTTAGAGTTGTAGGTATTGGGATTTATAGTTCACCTGCAATCAATGAGCACTCTGAACTTCACTGAAGAGGGAATTGGTTGAAACTTGGCACACAGAGCCCCCACAACCAGCAAAAAAATACTGGAGGTCTTTGAGGGAAATTCACCTTGATTTGGGGGAGTTGCAGTTCACCTACACCCAGAGAGCACTGTGATGGATCTGGACCAAACTTGATTTTGTCATTTGGGAGTGGTTGTTGCTGGGATTTATAGTTCACCTACAATCAAAGAGCATTGTGAACTTCACCAGCAATGGAATTGAACCAAACTTGGTACCAGAACTCCCATGACCAAGAGAAAATACTGGAAGGTTTTGGTGGGCATTGATATTGAGTTTTGGAGTAGTAGTTCACCTATATCCAGAGAGAACTCTGGACTCAAACAATGATAGATCTGGACTAAACTTGGCACGAATACTCAATATGCCCAAATATGAACACTGGTGGATTTGGAGGAAAATAGACCTTGATCTTTGGGAGTTGTAGTCCCAAGGATTTATAGTTCACCTACAATCCTTGAACCCACCAATGATAGAATTGGGCCACGCTTTCCACAGAGAACCCCCATGACCAACAGAAAATACTGGAGGAATTTGGGAGGAATTGATAATGACGTAGTTCACCTACTTCTGGAGAGCACTGTGCACCCAAACAACTATGGGTCTGGGCCAAATTTGGCACAAATACCTGATATTAACCCTCAACATCTGTTTCTAGTGTACTCCTCCTCCCCCTCTGTACGAAGATCCTTGTCGACCCTATCTTGGAAGTGTTCTGCCCTCATAAATAGCTCACCCCACTGCTGTCTCACTCCCTGTTTTTATCCTTAGTATTTTATTCTGGATATGCGGCCTGCTCATTGCTTTGTTTTATGAATGATTTTATTGTAATTTTATATGGTTTATGCTTTATGTAATTCATTGTGTTGTTGCTTATGTTTTGATTTTATTGTGTTGTTGTTTATGTTTTGATTATTGTATTGTGCTGATGGGCTTGACCTCATGTAAGCCGCCCCGAGTCCCCATTGGGGAGATGGTGGTGGGGTATAAATAAAGATTATTATTGTTGTTGTTATTATTATTGTTGTTGTTGTTGTTGTTGTTGTTATTATTATTATTATTATTATTATTAGCCAAATGTGAAAACTGGTGGAGTTGGGAGGATTGATTTTGTCATTTGAGAGTTATTGTTGCTGCCAAAGAGTGTTCCTAAGACCATCAGAAATATGTGTTTTCTGGTGGTCTTTGGCAACCCCTCTGAAACCCCCTTGTGACCTCCCCAGGGGTCCTGACCCCCTGGTTGAGAAAGGTTGAACCTCAGATTTAGCATTGCTCCCCAGAGTAGCAAGTGCTTATTTTGAGCAATTTTCCACCTTCACCAGAATTTTTTGGGCCAATGTAGGGACTTGGAAGAGCTTCAGAGGAAGGCCACATGTGGCTCATGAGCCACAGTTTCACCATGTATATGGAGTGGGATGGCAAAACCGCACCTATTTCCCCCCTTCCAGTGCCTGATCTCCCACCTCATGGGACTTACTGTTGATGGACTTGAGGTCTCGGTGGATGATGGGAACGATGGCTTCATTATGGAGGTAGTTCATGCCCCGGGCAATCTGGACAGCCCAGTTGACCAGCACATGGGGAGGCACCTTCTTGCCGGCGAGTGCCCGGTTGAGTGCCCCTCCGCGGGCATACTCCATCACCAGGCACAAGTTGGGCGGGTTGAGGCAGACGGCCTTGAGGGCGATGATGTTGGGGTGGCGCAGCATGGCGAAGAGCCGGGCCTCCTGCCGCACATTCTCCACTGTCACGGCAATGTCCTCCTCAGGATCTTGACGGGTGGCCTTCACGGCGACCTCTTCCCCGCGCCACAGCCCCTTGTAGACCTTCCCAAAGCCCCCCACTCCAATGATCTCATCCAGTTCCAGCTCCTGGAAGGAGATTTCTAGTGGAGGTGGGAAGGTGAGGGAGCCCTGGATCTGGGTGTACTTGTGGTTGCTGGTGACATAGTTGCTTGGGAAGATGCCCACTTTGTCCTGGAGTTTGCCCGTCCACCAGCCCTCGTCCCCAGAGATGGTGGAATCCTTCGACAGGACTTCCACCAGGTCTCCCCTCCGCAAAGTCAGCTCCTCTTCCGCTGCGGCCTCATAGTCAAAGACAGCCGTCCAGACCGGGTTGGGGGTCATTGGGCCAGTATTCCAAGACCCAAAAGTGTCCTGCGCCTCCTTGCATGCTGGCTCCATGGAGATGGTGACCAACACAGGCCCTGTTTGCCAGTGGGTCACAGCCTTGAATGCCTCATAGGTCCAATGGGGTCAAAAGGACAACTACATCTCCTTTGGATTCCAATTTTCTCAATTCTCTGCAATTTTCTTCTTTTTGGGCTAGCCATCCTTCTTCTAAGAAACCCCCTTTAACTTCCCTTTTTATTTCCATTTTTTTCCAAACTCAGAACTGACGCAGCAACAGCAACAACAACCTTCCTGGAAAGTTTCTGAAGAGTCAAAAAGCATATTAGGCTCCGAAGATGTTTGAACAGGGGAGGAAAACCTGCAAAGAAAAGGTGGTCATTATCAGAATTATTATTACACAACCAAAAACAACAACAACAACAACAACAAGTGACATCTTAGTTTTTAGGACTCCTCCTGGGGTTATTTAGAGAACTCACTCAGAACTTGGCATAGACCACATCAGCTCTAGTTTGTGAGGCCCCTTCCTCACAGCGGAATAAAATCCCACATTATCTGCTTTGAACTGAAATAGATGGCAATGTGGACTCAGATAACTCAGCCCAAAGCAGATATTGTGGGATTTTCTGCCTGCTAAAGCAGCTCCACTGGCTGATGATAAGTTGCCAGGTCCAATTCAAGGTGCAGGTTATGCCCTAAACTGTTTGGCCCTGCCTATCTCCGTGATCGCATCTCCCCCTATGAACCGGCGTGGACTCTTAGATCTGCCAGGGAGGCCCTCCTCTCACTCCTACCACCATCATCAGCATGGTTGGTGGGGACGAGAGAGAGGACCTTCTTGGTGGTGGCCCCGTGACTTTGGAACACCCTCCCCAGAGAGATAAGACAAGCCCCATCTCTATCCTCCTTCCACAGGGACCTGAAAACTTGGTGGTTCCAAGAGGCCTTTGAAAATGTTTAGCCCTACCCTAGCCATCATCTAGGACCCTGCTCTGCCCTTTCTCCACTTCCCCAGCCCTATGGTACTGGGGCCTGAGTGGTCTTCCACACAGCCATATAACCCAGACTATCAAGGCAGAGAACCCCCTGTATCTGCTTTGAACTGGGTTATCTGAGTTCACACTAGCCCTTGTCCAGCCCTTTCATAGCTGACTAGGTCCACTTCATAATTCTGACCATTGGTATTTTGAATCCTGTCTGTTGGAGTAAAACCGAAACTGGCTTTTAAATGTTTGTGATTGTTTTAATAGGATTAAGTTTATGTTTCATAATGGTCATTTTTGTATAGTTTTCGTGTCGTACAGCAATTGAATGTTTTGCCCTATGTTGGAAACCACCCTGAGTCCTCTTGGGGAGATAGGGAAGTATATAAATAAAGTATTATTATTATTATTATTATTATTATTATTATTATTATTATCATTATTATTATTATTATTAGAGAAAGGTAAAGGTTTTCCCCTGACATTAAGTCCAGTCGTGTCCGACTCTGGGGGTTGGTGCTCATCTCCATTTCTAAGTTGAAGAGCCGGAGCTGTCCGTAGACACCTCCAAGGTCATGTTGCTGGCATGACTGCATGGAGCACCGTTACCTTCCCATTGAAGCAGTACCTATTGATCTACTCACATTTGCATATTTTTGAACTGCTAGGTTGGCAGAAGTTGGGGCTGACAGTGGGAACTCACACCGCTCCCTGGACTCGAACCTGTGATCTTTCGGTCAGAAAGTTCAGCAGCTCAGCAGTTTAGCCCACTGCACCCCCTGGGGCTCCATTATTATTATTATTATTATTATTATTATTATTATTATTATTATTACTACTACTACTACTACTACTACTACTGATATTCTGGGTTATATGGCTGTGTGGAAGGGTCCTTCCACACAGCTTTATATCCCAGAATATCAAGGCAGAACCCACATTATCTGAATGTGGACTCAGATAACATAGTTCAAAGCGGATATTGTGGGATTTTCTGCCTGGATACTGTGAGATATAGGGCTGTGTGGAAGGGCCCTTAGATATGGTTATTGTGATTTTCCATGGTTGAGCATATGAAGACCAGTATATGGCATATGTTCTGTATCTCAAAAGATAGTGTTGATAGGAAAATGTTGGTGCCATGTTTGGAGTCACAGGGTCACAACAGACCCCAAAATAGGGATAACATTTGAGGCAACAAAGGGCCCTTCCACACAACCATATAATCCAGGATATCAAGACAGAAAATCCCACAATATCTGCTTTGAACTGGATTGTCTGAGTCCACACTGCCGTATAATCCAGTTCAAGGCAGAAAATGTGTGATTTTATTCAGATGTGTAGAAGGGGCCTGAGGCCCTTTCTACGCTACCTTATATTGTAGGATCTGATCCCAGTCTATCTGTTTTGAACTGGATTATATGAGTCTTCTTCCCCTGCCAGATAGTCTGGGAAAAGAAGATAATCGGGGACCAGATCCTGGGATATAGGACCAGTGTAGAAGGGGCCTGAGTGGCCTTCCACACCGCCATATAAACCAGAATATCAAGGCAGAAAATCCCACAATATTTGCTTTGAACTGAGTTATCTGAGTCCATACACAGATAATGTGGGATTTTCTGCTTGATATTCTATGTGGAAGGGGCCTGTATCCCAAGATCTGATCCCAGGTGATTTTCTTTGAACTGGATTATCTGAGTCTCCACTGTCAGATAGTCTGGAAAAAACAGATAATCTGGGACCAAATCCTGGGATATAGGGCCAGTGTAGAAGGGACCTGAGTGGCCTTCCAAACAGCCACATAACCCAGCATATCAAGGCAGAGAATCCACCCGCACGACCTCTGAGGATGCTTGCTATAGATGCAGGCGAAAAGTCAGGAGAGAATGCCTCTAGACCATGGCCATACAGCCTGAAAAAACCTACAACAACCAGTGATTCCGGCCATGAAAGCCTTTGACAATCCACCCTATTTACTTTGAACTGGGTTATCATAGGGCCCTTCCATACAACCCTATATCCCAGAATATCAAGGCAGAAAATGCCACAATATCTGCTTTGAATTGGGTTATCTGAGAACACACTCAAGATAATATGGGATTTCCTGCCTTGATATTCTAGGATATAGGGCTGTGTGGAAGGGCCTGTAGTCCACACTGCCATATATCCCAGTGGGATTGTGGAAGGGGCCAAACTAGTTTTATTCTAATCTGCCCCTTTAAAGGAAAACAATCCCTGCAACCTCCCTTGGTTTGCCAATCTCTTCCCAGCTGAATGCAGAGAAGAAAGAGGCCATTATGTGCCCCACCAACACCACCCTCTGAGGACAGGCAAAGAAATATATCAATGCAAAGCCATATTAAAACGACAACAGAAAAGAGCCCTTCTCTCCTCTTATTTTGCCATGTCTTTGCTCAGGCTCCTGGTGGCATGGATAATCACAAAACAAAATAAATAAAGAGGAGAGACCCTTGCAAACCAGTGATGCCTTCCCAATGGCATAGGTATTCTCTCTCACACACAAAGGCTGGGCAGAGTGGGGGCTGGCATGGGTACCAGCTTGGCATAGAAAACCTTATGCAAGATGTTGGTGGGGGATAGTGGTGGGATGGAGAGTGGGCGCCTTGTTCCATTGGGCAAAGGATGGAGAGGGTGAGGCCTAGGTGAGCAATGGAAAGATCCAAACCTCTTCACCACCCTCACAACCTCTGAGGATGCCTGCCGTAGATGCAGGCGAAACGTCAGGAGAGAATGCTTCTGGAACATAGCCATACAGCCCTGAAAACCTACAACAAACCTCTTCACCTTCATTGGCTTACCTTTCTTAGCCAGGAGGGGAGAAAATAAAGGGAACCTCAGCAGTTTGCAAGGCGCAAGGTGCCTCCTTCTCTCCCTCTCTCTCTCTCCATCCATTCACCTGCTTGCCAGTCTGTGGGGCAACCCTCAGAGCAGCCCCCTCCCCTTTGGCAAGAGGGAAAAGAGAGGAGGGGAAAGAGGCGAGGCTGGTGGTCCTCCTCCTTCCTTGGATGCTCTTCCCGGCGGAGATGCGGCTTTGGTTCCCACCGATGGGAGAGAGGGAAGGAAGCAAAGGAGAAGGAAGAGATGGTACCCAAGGGTACCCCAGGGGTTGCTCTTCCCCCTGGCAAGGCTCCGGGGGTCCCTCCTTCCCCGCAATTCCCTCCCTTGCAGCCGTCGCGGGAGGACCTGTCAGCTGGTGCCCGGCTGAGGAGGAGGAGGAGGAGGAGGAGGAGGAGGAGGAGGGGAGGTGCTCCTGGCAGGCTGGCTGCTTGGAAGGAAGGGCATGATGGGACTCGTAGTTCCAGGGCTTGCCAAGCGGGGTGGGTGCCTTCAGCTTGGAGGAAAGAGGGCTGAGAGGTGGGCACTAGAGAGCCCTGTCCAAATATCTGAAAGGGTGCCTCATTGAAGAAGCAGCAAGCTGGTTTGCTGCTGTACTCATGAAGCCCTGGATCCCACTTTTCCATCACACTCATCCCACTGAACATGTCAAGTGGGTTGCTGTGAGTTTTGTATAGCTATGCCCCAGAAGCATTCTCTCCTGACATTTCGCCCACATCTCTGGCAGGCATCCTCAGAGGTTGAGGGGTCTGCTGGAAACTAAGTAAGTGAGATTTATATATCTGTRCAATGATGTCCAGGRTGGGAGAAAGAACTCTTRKCTGCTAGAGGKAAGTGTGAATGTTGCAATTGGCCACCTYGATTAGCATTGAATGGCCTTGCAGCTTCAAAGCCTGGCTGGTTGCTGCCTGGGACAATCCTTTGTTGGGAGGTGTTAGCTTTGTTTTATGATGTTGTTTTAAGAATTTTAGTGTGTTATATTTTAGCTATGTTGTAAGTGAGATTTATATATCTGTGCAATGATGTCCAGGGTGGGAGAAAGAACTCTTGTCTGCTAGAGGGAAGTGTGAATGTTGCAATTGGCCACCTTGATTAGCATTGAATGGCCTTGCAGCTTCAAAGCCTGGCTGGTTGCTGCCTGGGAGAATCCTTTGTTGGGAGGTGTTAGCTTTGTTTTATGATGTTGTTTTATGAATTTTAGTGTGTTATATTTTAACTATGTTGTAAATGGGGTTTATATATCTGTGGAATGATGTCCAGGGTGGGAGAAAGAACTCTTGTCTGCTAGAGTTAAGTGTGAATGTTGTAATTGGCCACCTTGATTAGCATTGAATGGCCTTGCAGCTTCAAAGCCTGGCTGGTTG